TATCTAGGTCTCGAAAAACTATCCCTCACTTACCACTTTTTTTTTTCCAAACTTACCTTATACCAATTAAACTTTTCTAAATGAGAAAAATTGTGCCTTGAACTTTAGTTATTATGCATTCAAAATACCTAGGTATAGGAAATGTATCACTTACCTTTTTAAAAAAAAGTACAGGACCCTTTTCCACGCCTCAAGGCATATAGGGCTAGACCTATATTTTTATAGACCAATTGGCACAAGATGGGTGATGTGGTCAGTATCATGCCGGCCGCCTTCACTTTCCCACCCGGTACCCACTCAAGGCTGGGTCGACCTGGGAGCCAAGGTCATTTTTGAATAAAGTCCGGCTCCGCCAGGGAGCGAACCCACAACCTTCCGATCCGCGGCAAACGTCTAGCCGCGCGGCCACGGCGAGTCCCTTACCTTTTTAACTTACCTTATACTAATTACACTTCTAAATGAGGAAAGTTATTGCTTGAACTTTATTTATCATGCCTCCAAAATACCAAGGTGTGGGAAAAGTATCCCTTACTTTTTAAACTCACCTTATACCAATTACACTTCTAAGTGAAGAAGCATCCCTTATATATTACTTATTATGCGTCCAAAATACCTAGGTGTATGAAAAGTTTACCTTACTGTTTACTTCCCCGATAATCAGTACACCTATAGGTTTGGAAAAGGATCTTCTAGATTACTTACTATATTCGGTGCGATTTAGCACTTGCGCTTTGCAAGGATATCAAGAGCTGAACCTTCAGAAGCAGTGGCAGACTATTGAATATAAAATTACTCCCCATGTGGGCTCTGGGGCCCTATTGTGGGGGAAACAAGACTAGACCCACTGCCTACCCAACAAACATGTCATAGGAGTTGACTAATTGGGGGCTTCCTTCGAAGTTGGAGTGCATCTGCCCAAAGCAGCAGTGAATAACCAACTGCGCACCAGCCAATAAAATGGATGTACATGCACAGCTCAGGACCTGACACAAAGCCAAAGTTCAAATGGACGAACAGCCAGGACTTTCCACCAGAGATTACAGCTGGTGAACAGAGAAGGAGAAGAATGTAAAATTACTTGTCAAAACCAAAACATTCAACAAGTTGGTTCTTGATTTGGTTCTGCAATGTCCTGTAAAGGGTGTCCAACTTGCAACTAACTTAACTATACCCAGTATGCTTCATGTTCCTTGAAAGCGTCTATGACTTTGTACCTAAGTACTCTTGGTTCACATTTACTCTATTAAATTACACACAGAGCAGGAATAGCAACTCCATTTGTGGGTACAATTACAAACATTGCAAAGGCTGATTGAAATCTAATTCTGTTTATTGTGCCTCATTCAAACCAAACCAGACTGTTCAAGCAGGGAAACCAATTACTTTTTGAAAATCTTGGAGAAATGGGGCAGGGAGTGCTGATTTGTTATTGCACGTTGTTTGAGAATAATCTGTTGGCTGCTTACTGGGGGTACAGAACTATTTAAAAGCTGTTTTCTTAGTTAACTGCTGAATTTTAACTGAATACAGCTGAATAAAGCATATAAACCTGGGCAATAGGAAAGCTATGAGAAAATGTAAGAAGACGGGGATACAGATATACTGAATGTTGAATAAAGAATCAACATCACAGCATTCAGGGCAACCCCATAAGCGCTCTGTCCCCATCTTCAGCAGCGAGCAAAGAGTTAAAATTCCGATGGTACCAGTAACTGTCTGATTGTTTATCCATCTCGCCTTTCCCCTGAATGTGGAGCATCGGCCAAATCCCCTTGCAACTCCTCGCAGTGCCATTCTCCTCAGATCGTAATGATCTATCTGTTTGTCGGCACTGTTCACTTGCTCCCAGAGCCCTCACAACATCCAGCTTGTCACACATCAGTTCACCACCAAGTTGTGCAGAACCAGCCAATCTGTCTGCCTGCTCATTTTCCAACACACCGGCATGACCTGGAAAAAATATCCAAAGGATGCTAACTTTGAATTGATGCTTGCACGGAGCATACCTGTCTCCACCTTTCTCAACATGCTCTGTGAGTCAGTCACAGTGATGGCATGTGTGTACAACTGATTCTCAAGCCAGTGGTAGGCAGCAGTGACTGCCTCCACCTCCACTCTCAAACTAGATGTTGTGATATCATATGCCAGGCTTTGTTGCACCAAGCGACGTCCATTCACCTTCGCTATGAACCCCCATGCACTTTGTCTGCCCCTCAACACAGAGATATCTGTATAGACAATCACATCCCCTGGGCGGCAATTTTCATGAATTATTTGTTGAACTTCTGATTCTGCAGCACCAGCTGGCCAGTAAGTAGATATACTGAAGAATAGGCTGTATTTTCGAGAGGCTCTGGAAAGATTGGAAATGAAATGAGAGCGGTTGAAAGGGAAAAAAAATGGGCTAGTGGCGTATTGCAGCCATATTAAAGAGTTGAGACCAATGAAACTACTAGAAATACAAATTAATGGCAGATGAATTAGAGCTAGAGGTGATAAGTGAGAGAATGACATCAAGACAGTACATCAATACTTTTATGGATTGCACAAACAGGACAAGAGTGTCTTAGATCTGCTGCAGCTAACCTTGGTTGTAGAAACAGCACCTGATTGGTTAATAATACATTTATGTAATAATTTGCTGGTTGCTTCTTCCTCTTCTGTCATTTATCCCCTAATGGAGCAAAGACTCTCAACTAACTCATGCCAGGTCTTTCTGTCTCTTGCTTTCATATGCACCTTGCCCCATACCCTCCCCACCTTTTTAACTTTGCCCTCTAGTTCCCTTCTCTGTGTATTCTGTGGTCAGGGCTAATATCGTCAATGCTGTACGGACTGGGCTAGTGGATAATGAGGAATCCCTAACACTAACACAATTGCGTGACATGGGAGTTAAGCATGGTGAAGCACGTCTTTGCTGTCTTCGAGGCCGAGAAAGGAGACAATATAACCATCTTCTCATGGGGACAATTAGTAAAAGTACTTTGGAATGGCTGTTGCTTCGGAGGACTGAGCACGCATGGGTATGCCCAATGTGCAGTGATGTTGATTGTGATAACAAAACATAAAATAACATCTTGTAGGGAGTTGGCAGTCCGAAACCCAAGTTCAAGGTGTCTCCTTCGTGCCAAAGAACTGCATGGTTGTTGGGTGAACAGTCGTTAACGAAGGCATTCAGGTCGTTGTAGGGGCAACCCCTGCTGGTGGATGTAATGTCCTAAGTCCCTTTCCCAGCTAATAGTGAGGTTACTGCTGGGGTGACCGTTTATTAACCCTCATATAATGCTTCAGGTCAAAATGGACGCTAGGCACGACCACTTTTTTTTTTTTAGCCATGGCAAATGTTTGTTTTTTTCTTCTGCCAGACTGTGTCCGTTGCATTTTTGCTCCATTTGTAGACTGGAAGGTATAGTTTCATCACCCAGCTTCTGGGTTGAGTGCAAGGCACGACACTGTGAGCTACGTGTGTTTTTCGTTGGCACAGGAGCGGAGCAACTATGGGGTGACCCGTTTGCTATGAAGCTGAAACTAGGATTACCAGATTACCAGATTCTTTGGTCTGCCCATATTTCTATGCCTCTGTGGTTGCACTGTAAAGCTTTTCTAGTTATTTTGTTCTCTGATTTTCTCAGTATATGTCTATCCAATACCAGCATCTTTAAGTCACCTATTGATTTACTTGAATTTTTTAGTTTTCTCACAAAGCTCAGCATGAGTGATTCTGTCATATCATTTAATTCCCGATATTCTACGCTGGCACCAGTTAATAAATGTTTGTAGTTTATTAGTATTTGATTCAGTTGATTCCATATTTCTGCGCCATACAACAGTGCTGATTTGACATTAAAGCTAAACATTTTATGATGAGTATTAGTTTTAATTTTTTTCAACATTCACAAATTTCCTAGTGCTGTGAAAGCTCCTCTTGATATTTGGTTTTGTATTTTAATTTCTCGACCAGTCCTGCCACTTTATTTACATTATCATCATCATGTAGCAGGTCCTTTGCAGAGCGTCGCTGTCATCACGGTCTGCCTAAAAGAAACTCGGTCTCTCGCCAGCTCTCCCACCTCATGTACTTTCTTCATATTCAAGGAGTCACTTATATCCTGTGCCCATCTTTATGTCAATCAGCCCCTGCCCCTCCTTCCTGGTACCATGCCTTGTGCTTTATCTACACAACTGCCCAAATAAGTGTATGAATCCACATCTTGGGTATCACCAATGGAAATTAAACTTAAATTACTGTTTGCCTCATTTATCCTCATTATCTTTGTCTTTCCCTTTGGCATTTTTAGACCTGGCTAAGTATAAAATGGCTTGGCTTGCATCAGTTACAATGACTCACTCCGATTTAGAAGTATAGACAGAAAAGAAAAGAGAATTAGCTAATTAAACTCATGTGAACCCAGGCAGATGTTACTGTTACTCCATCTAACCTGAAGAAGTTGTCTTATTAGAAGAAATATTCCCCCTATAGGTTCCGGGGCTCCATTTTAAGGGTTAAAAAAGACCCACTGACCCCCAATTAGAGGTGTTTCTGCTTGAGAGGCAAGGAACCAACAGCTTGCATGCAAATAAGCCAGATCTGTAAAATGAATATAAACACAAAATTATAGGCAGCTGACCTTCCTCTTGCAGATATCATAATATTATAATATCTTATATTTTCTTCTTCTTCTTCTTCGCATTCACTGGCTGTAAACTCCGGTGGAAAGTTCTGGTTGTTCATCCACCTCTGGACTTTAGACTTGTTCCAAAACCTGAGTTTTGCGTGCACATCAGTTTTTCAGATCTGTAATATTTGAATGGTTCCTTGCCTTGCAGGAAGATGCACTCTGACTTTGAATGAGAATCCTCAGTTAGTCAGCTCTTACGACATGCTTGTTGGGGAGTCAGTGGGTATATTCTTTTTTTTCCAAACAAAGGGAGCCCTGTAACCAAAACGGTGATCTTATATTTTAATATTGATTTTAATACGTTTTTTTTATTTTGTGTAGGATCATCAGACGAAATATCGTGAACTTGAAAGGGAATTGAGAACTCTGTCTGTTGAAAAGACTCGAGCGGAAGCTTTACTGGAGGTATATTTGTGTATTTGAGGTTTGAACAATGAATCAACATCATGGCACACGGATAGTAACTCAAGAGTGCTCCTTTTTCTTCTAACTCAAGCCTGAGTCCGAAGAAGCTCAGCACAGTGCACAGGCTCTGTAGCACCGGCGAGCATTTTTCAACTCCAAATTTTGCCCGGGCAGCACGGTTAGGCTACTCTTTTTGATTTCCAACTGCCAAGGGATTTTTTAGGAAAAAACTGAAGTCATAAAAGACAGAAGTGAACAAATGGATTTAGCACTTGTGTCATTGGGGGAGGGGGGGGGGGGGTTTAGCATGAGCACTCTTGTACTAGGAAGCTGCCATGGTGTAGCGGCTAGAAGCTCACCTGTGGATTGGAAGGTCATGGGTTCATGTCCTGACAGAGCCACGCTTTTTTCAAAAATGACTAACTCTTCCCTGTCAACCCAGCCCTGAATGGATGTCAGGTAAAGTTCTGGAAAGTAAAGGTGGCTGGTGTAATACTGACCACATCACCCACCAAGTGCCGATGGCTCTATACAATATAGGTCCAGCCCTATATAATCAGTACACCTGAATGCATGGAAAAGGGTCCTTTACTTGCTTGTACTGACATCTTTGGTTACTCACATATTTGGTTATTGACATCTTTGGTTAATGACATCTTTGATTATTGACATCTTTGATTACTGACATCTTTGATTACTGACATCTTTGGTTACTCACATATTTGGTTATTGACATCTTTGGTTAATGACATCTTTGATTACTGACATCTTTGATTACTGACATCTTTGATTACTGACATCTTTTATTACTGACATCTTTGGTTATTGACATCTTTGGTTATTGACATCGTGTTCTTGTGGTCACATGGAATTTTGCCCATTAATGTCCTCTTATTTCTTGTTCCCTCCTGCTATCATATATTCGTCACCATTATCAGCAGTTATAAGACAGAGAAGATGACACTATATTGGACACATTCTGAGAAGAGACGAGCAGAGAATCGCCAGATTAGCAATGAAATGGGAAACTGAGGGACTGAGGAAATAAGGACATTCAAAAGAAACTCTAAAGCAAATATAGATGAGAGTAGACAAAGGGGCTGGGCTGGATTTGATCCCTGATGTCCGTATGATGATCCTGTGTTGTACAGGATAGAGCGCAATGGAGAAATAGACTGCCAGCCCTATGTGACATAAAATGGAACAGTTAAGACAGCGAATGAAAAATCTTCTGCAGAAGTTGTCATCATCAAATTCCACCAGAACAACAGTTAATAAGCTTAGCAGTTCCCTTGCCTCATGCTGGCTACCTCACCCAGTAGACACCTTCAGCTGCAAAATTCTTCTTCCTCTTAGTGTTCTTCTTCATCTGCCTTTCTAGCCCCCAATGGAGCATACTCCCTCAACCAACTCACGCCAATTTGTTCTATCCTTTGCTATTGCATGCAGCTCTCCCCATGTCCTCCCCATCTTTTTACTTCACTCTCTAGCCCCCTCCTCCATGTGTTATTTGGTCTTCCTTTATTTCTATGCCCCTGTTGGTTCCAGTGCAAAGAGATTCTAGTTAAATTGTTCTCCGCAGCATTTTTTTCTTCACCTTTTGGTCCACTGGAACTTGTTTAATTACTCTCATTGCTCTACATTAGTGATTCTATCCTACCAAACAATTCCCTCAATCTTGCACAGGCACCAGTTATTAGATGTTTGTAGTTTAGTGTTCAACACTTGTAAACTCTGGCAGAGAAGTCTGGTTGCTCATCTACTCCTGGACTTTAGTCTTGATCCAGAACCTGGAATTTATGTGCACATCCATTTTACAGATCTGGCTTATTTTTATGCAGACTTTTGTTTCCCTGCCTCTTCTCTGCCTCTCTGGCAGAGGCACTCTAACTTTAGAGGGAAACACCCATAATTATTCACCTCTTATGACATGCTTGTTTAGAGGGCATTGGGTTTGTACTGTGCTCTTCACAGTGGAGCCCTAGAACCCACACTGGAAACCTGTAGAAACCACTCAGATGTGTCAAGGTTTACAAAGAGTCTAAAGTGATCGCATCAACACAGCAGGAGTCCTTTTCCGGGCTCTTGATGGCGTGCTGTGCTAAGCCATTTTATATGGCACACATAACCTAGTCACAATTATAACTTTAAGCTCCCCCTTTGGGGATGTTGGTTGAATGTGAAGACTTTTTTTTCGGCAAAGCACCTACATACCTACCGGTTACAGTCCTGGGAAGTAAAGGCGGCGGGCGTGATGCTGAACACATCACCCATCTTGTGCAGATTTGTCTATAAAAATATAGGTCTAGCCCTATATGCCGAAACACCTAAAGGTGTGGAAAATGGTCTTTCACTTACTTACCCACATACCTTATTGAAGACATATGCTGAAAGTTAAAATTCAGATAAATGGAAAGAGAAATATGTTTTACTAGTTTAATCTAGTTTGCTGAAATATTTTATATCCCGGAAGGTTAAACCGGGGCAACAAATACCTGTAGAAAGTGGATGTGTTCGCCGGAGGGTCAAATAAAACAGCAGTATTGATAATGGACACAACCTATCTGTGTCTTTGATGCAGAAGAACAAGAAGATATTTTATATACAATCTTAACCTGCAGAGTTCACAGGGACTGCCATAAACAGTTGTAAAGTTTCACACAGACTGCCATAAATAGTGGTACAGTTTCACACAGACTGCCATAAATAGTGATACAGTTTCACACAGACTGCCATAAATAGTGGTACAGTTTCACACAGACTGCCATAAATAGTGGTACAGTTTCACACAGACTGCCATAAACAGTGGTACAGTTTCACACAGACTGCCATAAACAGTGGTACAGTTTCACACAGACTGCCATAAACAGTGGTACAGTTTCACAGGGACTGCCATAAACAGTAGTACAGTTTCACAGGGACTGCCATAAATAGTGGTACAGTTTCACAGGGACTGCCATAAACCGTGGTACAGTTTCACAGGGACTGCCATAAACAGTGGGTACAGTAAGGGTATCAGGACAGTGTTTTAATAATATTGAATGATTTATGTCTACTTTTAGGATGTACAAGCCCGTTTGACACAACAGGAAGAAACAACAGCTAAACTCCGGGAGCAGAACTCTAACCTGAACTATGATATCAACCAACTTATCTCAGTGATGGAGATGGCGAGGTCATCAGGGAAATGGGAGGTAAAATTATCGTTGTGTTGGCAAACATTATCATTTTGTTGGCATTCACCATCTTTATGTTAGCAAATATTATAGTTGTGTTGGTAAAAACAATCATTGTGTTGGTAAAAACGATCATTGTGTTGGCAGACATTATTGTTGTGTTGGCAGTCATTATTGTTTTTGTTGGCAGACATTAATGTTGTATTTGCATTATGTTGGCAGACATAATTGTTGTGTTGGCAGTCATTATTGTTTTTGTTGGCAGACAGTAATGTTGTGTTTGCATTATGTTGGCAGACATAATTGTTGTGTTGTCAAACAATAATGTTGTGTTTGCATTATGTTGGCAGACATAATTGTTGTGTTGTCAAACATTAATGTTTTGTTGGCCTTATGTTGGCAGATATTATCGCTGTGAAATATAATCATTGTGCTGGTACTCCTCCATCTGTCCTGGTGATGTTTGCCATTGTACAATAGAGAGGCATTACAATCTTAGCCTACGCCAGTTTTGTGTACGACTATATGACAATGGCTGTATAGCTGTATGACTGTGTGGCTGTATGACTATTTGGCCTTATGGCTGTATAGCTGTATGACTGTTTGGCTATATGGCTGTATAGCTGTATGACTGTCTGGCTGTATGACTATTTGTCAGTATGACTGTATCACTGTATGACTGTATAGCTGTATGTATGACTTTAAAGCTGTATGAGTGTATCACTGTATGGCTGTTTGGCTGTATGACTGTATGGCTATTTGGCAGTATGACTGTATCCCTGTATGACTGTAAAACTGTATCACTGTATGGCTGTTTGGCTGTATGACTGGTAGTCTGGTAGTCTTAGTTTCAGCTTCATAGCAAACGGGTCACCCCATCTTTGCTCTGCTCCTGTGCCAACGAAAAACACACAGAATGTTTATCACAGTCCCTTGTGGAAAGATTGACAGACTTCTGTTTCAGCATATCTAGCATACTTTACTTTACTTTTTCCTTCCACGTATGCCGCTAAGCGTTGTGGGGAGATGCAAGTTCCTGTCATAAGCAAGGCGGGCAGCATCTGATGTTCTGAGGCCATGCTTTTGGCAGGTTTCGGAGATCCCATCAATCCACCGTTTCCTTGGTCTTCCTCTTGCCTTATATCCTGAGCTTCTTTGGTTGAAAATTTGTGATGTTATTTGATCATTTTTCATCCTGGTTAGATGTCCAAACCATTTCATTCTTTGATGTTCTATGTAGTCTAAACATGGTGTAGTTTTGACAGTGTTTCTAATGTCTATATTCTTTATCCTGTCTAGTCTGGTCTTATTCGCTGCTTTTCTTAGACATTTCATTTCACAGGCTTCTATTTTTCTTTCATGGGTCTTGTTGATTGTCCATGTCTGGCACTGGTAGCAGAGTGTTGGAATGAAGATGGTGTTTATCAATTGTCTTTTGGTCTTCATGGTTATATCTGGATGTTTAAGCAGAGGTGATAGTTGGTATGTGACAGCATTCGCTTTCTGTATTCTTGTTTCTATCTCTCTGTCCATTCTTCCATCCTCTGTAAATATACTGCCCAAGTATTTGAACTCTTTGGTTTGCTTGATTTTGGCACTTCCAACATTTATATTCAGTGGCCTGTGTGTTCTGCTGATCTTCATAACTTCTGTTTTTTTCTGTACTGATTCTCATATTATGTTGTAAACAGCTGTTGTTGAGAGTAGTCAGATGTTCCTGTAGATCATATTCATTTTGATACAGTATGCTTTGATCATCAGCAAAAAGTAATTCGTTTATAGCATACACGTCTGGGTTTGCTTCTACAGTGATCTTATCCATGTATGTTATGAAAAGTAATGGTGACAGTACACATCCTTGTCTGACACCAGTTGTGACTTTGAACCATTCAGAAAGACCACTAGATGTTCTTACTGCACTTTCACTTTTTTCATAGAGGGTTCTGATGTTGTCTAATAATTGACCCTGCACTCCGTAATCGTCAAGAATTCTCCACAGCACATCTCTGTCTACACGGTCGAATGCCTTCTCTTGATCTACAAAGACCACGTTCAGCTCTTTATCGTATTCGAGTGTCTTTTCACAGACTTGTCTTAGTGCAAATATGGCATCAGTGCAACCTCGCCCTTTCCTGAAACCGAATTGTGCTTTACTCAGTAGAGGTTCAACCTTTGCTCTTATCCTACCTTCTAAGATCTTTGCATACATTTTCCCCACATGACTTAGTAAAGATATTCCTCTATAAGTTCCACATTCTCTCTTGTTTCCTTTTTTCTTCCAGATAGGTACTACAACTGATCTTTGCCAATCCACTGGTACCTTTCTCTCTGCCCATGCTCTATTGAAAATTCTCTCCAGCCAGGTGATCATAGTGTCCCCTCCAGCCTGGATGACTTCTGTTGTTATTCCGTCGATACCAGCTGCTTTGTGTCTTTTACTTGTTTTGATAACTTTCTCTACTTCATCCCGCAGGATATGTGGTTCTAGATGATCTGGAGCCCTTGAATGGAATTCTGCTGTTTCATGTACTCCCGACGGGTTCAAAAGTTCTTTAAAATATTCCTTCCATCTTTTTTTAATTTCTTTTTGGCTGAATAATGGTTTTCCATTTTTATCGTTTATGACTGATGTTGGATTGAAGCTTTCTTCTCTTAATCGCATCGCTTTCACACTCTTATAAAAGTCTCTTGGTGATTCTGTACATAGCTGTGTTAGGTGTTCACCATAACTTTTCCATGATTCCTCTTTGGATTTCTTTATTGTTCTCTTGGTGTCTCTTCGAGTTAGTCTGTACCTAATGTAATCCTTCTCGTCTTTTGTTTTTAACCATATTTGAAACATCTTCTTTTTATTTGACACTGCTTCTTTGACTTCTTCATTCCACCAAGCGGTACCCTTTTTCTTGCCTTTGCCCGTCTTTCTGGTACCACACTTGTCTTTTAATATCTTCGTGATGGTTGATTTATAATAATCCCATTCTTCTTCAATTCTTACTGGTTCCTTGGCAATATCTGCAAAAGCCTTTGTTATTTCTAGTTCAAATTCATGTTTGATATTCTCTTCCTCTAATTTCTTAGTGTTGATGATTTCTTCACGTTTCTGTTTATGTAGACTGTTTCTACTTGAGTTGCATATGTTTATAACTACTGGGCGATGGTCTGAATCCAGTCCCGCATTTGGGACAGCTTTTGAGTCTCTTACCTTCCTCTTCTGCCGTTGTCTGACTAGTATAAAATCAATTTGTGACGCTTGATCTAAGTTGTTCCACTTGTACCACGTTTTAACCTGACTTTGGCGATGTTGGTAGAATGTGTTGGTAATGTAGAGATCTTGTTCAGCACACAAGTTTAACAGGTGTTCTCCATTTCTATTGCAATCTGTGGTTGTGTCGCTGAATGGGCCAAGGTATCTCTCCCATGGTGATCTTCTTTTACCTACCCTACCATTAAAATCTCCCATTACTATGATGTCCTCTTTCTCTTTAACATTATTGATGGTGTCCGTAAGTCTCTCGTAAAAGTCTTCTTTTTTCTTCTTCAGAATAATTATCGTTGCAAGGTGCATATATCTGAATAATCGTTGTAGTTTTACTTCCTTCTGTCAACTTGATTAAAATAATTCTTTCTGATATAAATTCTGTTCCTGTTATTAATTTTGCTGTCTCGGGATGAAGTATAAATCCGACACCATGTTTTGCCCTATCTTTAGTGGGTACTCCGCTCCATAATAAAACATAATTTTCATGTATTTCTTTTGTATTATATCCTTTCTTTCTTGTATCCGCAAGACCCATGACGTGTATATTTTTTCTTTTCATGAAATCCACTATTTGTGGCTCTTTGTTGGCAATACCACATATGTTCCATGTGCCTATGTAAGTCGTTTTTCTGTCTCGTCGTCCTTTAACGTTTCCAGTCCATTTTCCGTTTGGGGCTGTCCGTTTATTTATCTCCTTTCTAATTTTCGTAGCAATAAAAAAATCCACTGCCGGCTTGCTAGGCCAGTCGCAGTTTAAGGGAAAATCTGACCAGATGGACCCCATCCCATCTGGCGAGCCAGAGCCTCGTTCGCCTGTGGCCTCACGGCCACAGTTTCCCGGTCTGCACCACTGGGAGGAGAGGTTGACTTATGTGTACTGTGGGTCATCGGCAGGCTACTAATTTTCACTTTTCACCTCTCCTAAGAGAAGCTAGCCGACCCCAACCCTACTGGATGCAGAGCCAGGCACAGTCCACATCTTGCAGACCTATCTATCATACACTCGCATTAAAGCATACGGTAGCCATCCGAAGTGCTAACACAAACAGTTCGACATTAGAAATGCAGTTCATCATTAATGGTAGCAGAAGTCACCAACAGATCAGCAGTTGCCCACGCGATCAGTTTTAATCACAATCGGGCACAACCAACATTGCGACAACAGGCATCGCGCTATTTTGTGAATTTACAATTCATACCACCACGTTAGTCACAGTTGAAAAAACATTCCAAATGAAATCCGCAGCTCACAGTGTCATGCCATGCATTCAGCTCAGAAGCTGGGCGACGAAACTATATCCAGTCTACAAATGGAGTAAAGCTGCATCAGCCACCGTCCAGCAGAAGCAAAAAAATTTGCCTCAGCTCCAAATAGTGCTCCCACCTAGCCTCCATTTTGACAGGAAGTCGGCCAGCTTGTGTTGAAGTCTTCAACAATGAATGCATCAGATTTCAAGAACACTGTTGCTGCCACATCAATCCTTGTGAAAGTAGTTGAAGGTTTTAACAACCAACATTTTATGGAGCAGAGTCTCTATGTTTTGTTTTGGTTAGTAAGTTGCTTATCCTTTACAGGACGTTGCAGAACCAACCCCAGACTGATTTTTTGGGGGGAGCTCTCGTGGTTTTTTTAGGCAAATGTTATGCTCAATAGTTTGCCATTGCCTTCTGAATGGTCAGCGCTCAGTACCACTGTCGAAACCAGAGCAAGACAAATCATCCGCAACTGGGATCGAACCCAGCATTACAAAGCGCCAAAGCCACAGACATTTTGATAAGTTGAATAATTTGAAGTAATTAGTAGAATCCCTAATCGACTTCTAGCTGAATGTTATTTGTTTGAAGCAAGTTTGAGAATTTCTTTTTCTTAGTGTTTACCATCTGTAAACTCTGATGCGAAGCTCTGGTTGTTCATCCACTTTTGGACTTTGGTCCTGTTCTAGAACTGGAGTTTTGCTTGCACATCCATTTTACAGATCTGGCTTATTTATTTGCAGACTGTATGTTCCTCGCTTTTCAGTCAGATGCACTGTGACCTATTAGAAAACGATGCTTTATTAATATCCTACCCCAAACATGGGAAATCCACAGGTCATGGGACAGTCTGATATTTTAGGGGGTGGTAGATAGGCTGTATGCAGTCATGGGACCTAGGCTGTATGCAGTCATGGGACCTAGGCTGCACCCTCTCGTGGGACGTGGGTGGGTTGGGGTTAGGGCCAGCGCTAGATGGAGTCATTAAAAGCATCAGAATTCTCTGTTCGTCTCTTCTCAGAATATGTTAAGTTTAGCGATGAGGATACTGATGATACCGAAGACAGCTTATCCCAGACATCAGGAGGAGACAGCCATCATTTTTTCGGCTATAGTATGAGAAGAGGAAAAATGGAACATGGTGTGACCACTGGAAAGATCTGTGGAAGGAAGGATAGAGGAAGACAATGAGAGAAGATTCTTGACAGTCTTGTTGCATGGCATGGAGGTGTGTCAGCACACGAACTGATACATGCTGCAGGAGATTGCAGATTGTGGAGAGGCATGATGGCCCATGTCAGTCAGCAAGGCACCTAATGATGATACTGATGATGCTATGCCCAAAGGTTTCCCTAAATAATGTCCTAAAAAGTGCCCAACATGCATTTGGTTTTTTATGTGTTTTCATATCCCTGAGATAATAAGGCCCCTGAACTGAAAATTTGAATCAGTTTTTGTCAGAATTTGAAAAGACTACATACTGAATGCTTTAAAACAGGTCTCAGGCTAATCTCTCACTTTAACATAATTTTTTTAACTTGGTTCGCCATACGGAAATTAATGATCAGTAATTTTTTTTTTTTCAGATATCGTTAAATATTCGCCTGCCTTCTTTTCCCTTGGGTAAAAAAAAAAAACCACAGGGGAATTGATTTTGTGCAATTATGTTACATTTTTATTGCGGCAATTATTAACGTTCAGAAATGGATTGCTGGGTTTAAAAAAGGTGGCTGAATTTCTGCCGAATAAATTTGCAAATCATTGGTATGAAATGTGGTAGCAAAATTGGCAGAGATCATCTAGAGGGTATTTTCAGAAGGAGAGTCTATGAGATGTCAGTGATTAACCTGTAAAATGATGAACGCAGAAGAAAAAGAAAAAGAAGAATGAGGAGAAGAAGAAGTCTGTGCAATTTTATAAACATTAGTTAATTAATTAGTCTCTCCTCTTGAGCCGAGGGCGGCACATAGGGCAGAGGTCATAGCGCTCCATGTCTGGTGGTTTGTTGCCACATGCTTTAGGTCTTGGATGTTTGTTAGGCCCATGGTTGAGCCTTTCCTGATAATGGTTTTACATAGTCTCTCTTGGTCTTTCCTATTTTGAATCATAACATTCAGAGCTAGAAAACTGATAAACATTAAATGTAATGAATTTGAAAAAAATAAAAAAAAAAATATTTTAATATGCAGAAATCAGAAACATGTCTAGACAACCACTGGTATAAGATAAAGAAGACGGCAATAAATGGGGCATATGTTGAGAAGAAATGAAAAGAGAATCTCCAAACAGACACTTAAAGGCAAAATTAATTAGACTGAGGTAATGAGGACATTTAAAAGAAACCCTAAGATAAACAGTAAAGAGAGGCTAAAGGTGCTCGACTGGGCTGGATTCCATCCATGATATTGAAACACTAACACAGGACAGAAGGGAATGGACGAATAAACTGCGAGCCCTATGTGATGTGGCATGATATTGACCACATCTCCCGCAAAGTGGCGATTGGTCTGCTTGCCTTAGATGCCCAGTATGCCTGAAGACATGGAAAGGTCCTTTACTTTTTCTTTGACTTTACCTATGTGAAGTGTAACGGCGAGAAAGGTGCTAATCTATTCCTCAGATCCATTGGTGCCTTGATCTGTTCCTCAGATCCATGGGTGCCTAGATCTGTTCCTCAGATCCATGGGTGGCTTGATCTATTCCTCAGATCCGTTAGTGCCTTGATCTTTTCCTCAGATCCATGGGTGCCTAGATCTGTTCCTCAGATCCATGGGTGCCTAGATCTGTTCCTCAGATCCTTGGGTGGCTTAATCTATTCCTCAGATCCGTTGATGTCTTGATCTCTTCCTCAAGTCCATGTGTGCCGTGATCTGTTCCTAAGTAACTCAAAAATTTGAAATGACTGATAATGTCTGTTCTGTTCTATAATCAAACATCTTAAGACTTTAGCTAAATTCTTATGTCTGGCAACCCCAGGTTGAATTGTTCACTTGTATTTATCACCTGTTGGACTGTGAAAAGCCTAGACCTATTTTACTTTCCTGTCGAAGTGCTTGGTTCATCAGCTGCTCGTTTCATTGTGACTTTTCAGAATTTTTTCATGTAAAACAACAAATTTTATCCAAACACACGTGGGCAGACATCTAGGAAGACTATCCACGAGATCTAATTGGGATTGGCTAGTTGTTTTTAGTCTGTGACGCATCATTTTCACGCACTACGCAAATGGCCGAAAATTAGGGACAGCTGTATAGCATCAGGTTAAGAAATTTCCATAAAATCGAGCCAGCGGTCTGGTAGGGTTAATGTTACCTGTCAATTAATTTTTAACAAATATTCTGACATCCCCTGCTTTATCATTCTTTCTTCAGGTGGACAGAGTTAGATTTCGGGAGCTGACATTTGACCAGGTTTTTGGCTCGTTGCCCAAGACATCGTCATCTAATATGTAAGTTTAACTTCTGTTCACCATTGTCATGTGATTTGCTGATAAGCATAAACTGCAGTGTATCATCATCTCACAGGATCACCAGAATTAAGTTTATTGTCAGTGATCTTGCTTCTTGCTCCCCCCCCACCCCAACTTCCCACCATCTATTTGGCCAGGCCATCATGGTATTTATTTCCTTGCCTTCCAATTGCTCTTTTTCCATTAATCTTGCCAGTTTTAATGTTCTCAAGTTCGCAACTATTTTTGTGTAAATTTTACATAGGTTAACCTTTGGTAATATCCAAGTTTGGCACTGTTGTTTTTCAAGGAAACCAAAATTTAAAAAAATAAAAAATACCCTAGACAGAGCCTGCAGATTCGAAGGTCATGGGTTCAAATCACAATGGAGCTGGAAATTTTTTTAAACATGACCTTGGCCCCTATGCCAACCCTGCCATAAATGGGTTTTGAGCCAGGTGAAGTCCTGGGAAGTAAAAGTGGCCGGCATAGTATTGACCACATCACCCACCAAGTGCCAATTGGTCTGTAATAAAATGAGCCCCATGTGCCCTATATGCCACTGGTGAGTAAAGAGACCTTTACTTTACTTTGAAAAATAACAAATCTCGTTAAAATAATAATATAAGTGAATGAGATTAGAGGAGACTCTCTTTATCTCTTTTTTTTTTTTTTTTAAACAGATAATTACTTTCACTGCCTGTATTTAACACTTTTTAGCACAGCATAGGACAGGGATGTCTTGAGACTGAGCATTTAAGGCTGCGTGGCTAGTGCAGTTGCCACCAACTGTGCATGTTTGGATGTTAATTTTTTTCCTTACAGAGGATTCAAACCCGAGTCTCCTTAATACAAGCACAGCATTGTTAATATTTGGCCGAGCCACTCCTTACTCTGCCATCGTCGGCCAGGTCACCCATTGGCTTGCCAGCATGACTGCGTCACCGGTCAGGGCAGTATTTGGGTTTGTCTACTTTGATCGCATCAGAACTGTAGGAGTCCTTTTCAGGATTCTTGGTGGTGTGCAGTGTTAATCCAATTTATATTGTGCACATGACCAAGTCACAATTATAACCTAAAGCTCACCCTTTGGAGATCCTGGTTGAACATGTCGATTTTTTCTCCAGAAAAGCACCACAAGCACCGTCTTACTCAGCCAGATTTTTGCTGGAGTCAAGCAGGTTAAAGTAAAAACTGTATTATTAATTTACAGAAATATACAGATATGGAACCCTTGATGCTGTAGAAACATATATAATAAACAAATGGACAATATATTGATTGACACTCACAGAAAGATGTAGAAAGGTAATTGGACACACTAGATAACATAAAAATTAAAAGTTATAGTTACTGTGCCGGAAATCGAACCTGTCACTTCCACACGACAATGGCGCCTCAGTGTGGAAACAGTATACTAAGCGCATGACCAACTTAGCACAACTAAAATAAAATGTGTCTTTATTAGCCATGTTTATTGTACAGCTTGATATCCACAACTATAAATTACGGCCTGATTCATCTCAAAGAGCTGATCAGTATATTGGGTGCATAATTAATATCCTACCCCAAAAAAGGAAAAATCCACAGGTCACGGGACAGTCTAATATTTCAGGGGGTTATTGATAGGCTGCATGCAGTCATGGGACCTAGGCTGCATGCATTCGTGGGACCTAGGCTGCATTCTTTCGTGGGACTTAGGTGGATTGAGGTTAGGGCCAGTTCTAGATGTTTTTGGGTCGTTAAAAGCATCAGAAAACTGGGTGGTAACCCTCTAAAATGTTGGACTGTCCTGTGACGTCATCTGGGGTAAGATATTAGTAAAGAATCGGTATATTGTCTGTTTGTTTATTTTATAAATAGTAATTTTGTATGTTTTAGTGTAGTCTACAACACCCTAGAAAGTGGTAAAACAGACACTGTAGTAATTTGCATAGAATTAAAGCATAGAAGATATCATTAAAATGTTGATTGTCTTGCTAGCCAAGTCAGTGACTCAGACAATGACCTCAGGGACCAGATCAGACAGAAGGATGACCTGATTGTTGCTCTGCAGCAGGAACTGAAGCAGCTACGATCAGAATCGAGGCTCATGGGAGGGGACACAGTGAGTATCCTGAAGATGCATATAGATTTTTTCTTTCTTTTCTCTTTTTCTGTCGCCCGTAATAAACCATGTATCTCCTAGCAAAGTAGTTAAACATTTTGCCTTGTTGGAACGTTCTGGGTTCAATTTTATAATCTGACCTTCAGTTTGCAGTTTGCTTTGGAGATCTCTAAGGGCTGTTGCTGAAACTGTGGAGTTTCTTCTGTATGCAAAGCTGTCACAACTAATCAGATATTCTCCAGAAAGGAGCTGACCAAATGATTTAAACCACAAACGCGCTTCATAATTCTGTGTTGCCAGGTTCAATCGCAGATGAGAGTGATTTGGCAGCAGACCTGTGTTGGTTTTAACATTGGTATTGAGAGCTGACCATTCGGAAACAACAGAAAGCTACTGAATGTAAAATTGCCTAGTGAAATCACAAACTGCTTAAATATGATGGGGGTTTCATTCTGCAACATTCCTGTAAAGGACACACAAATAACTTTAAAAAATAAAAAATTTTTAACACTGATCTCTCTGAGTGGGATAGTAGTTCATATGCTTCTTCTTCTCCTTCTTCTTCCCTTTATCTACTGTGGGCCCTCGAATAACATGTGAAGTGATCTTATCCTTTGCTCTTCCTATGTTCTCCCTGCGTTTTTAATTTCACTCTCTGGCTTCCTCCTCAAATTTTTTGTTGTTGGTGGGTCTGCCTTTATTTCTGTGACCCAGTAATAAAACAGTCTAGATATTGTATTCTCCGGTTTTCTCAACAGGTGTTCTATCCAAAGTCAGGAGTTTTTCTTTACCTCTTGAATTCACTGGAATTTGTTCAGTTCGGTTATAAAAGTTAGTCATTCATACTATTTAATTCCCACTGTTCTGTTCAGGCACTAGTTAATAAATGTTTATAGTTTATTAGTAATTGTCTTTGTTCTCCATGTTTCTACTCCATGCAGCAGTACTGATTTAACTTTAGTTACCAATTTTAAGTTTAGTATTACATTGGTACCTTGGTGTACGCCCTTAATCAGTTCTAGATCCTTGGACATAACTAAACTAATGTGCCCTTAAGAAATAAAGGGAGAATGATTCATTCGTTCCCATTAAAAAAAAATGATATTGTTATTGGCATATTATTCATTGGTAATTCAAACACTGCCTAATACTAAAAATACATAAATACAAATGCAGTTAGATCTACAAATGACAGTTTAATCTCACTTTAAATTGACAAAGTTTACAGCCGATGAGGAAGAAGAAGAAGATACCAGATGTTTAAATTTTTCTGGCTGTTGTCCGGAAAGGAAAAATTAGCAGGAAGGGAACTAGTTACCTCATCTCATATGATGTGACCTAGAATAGAGTGAGTAAAGGCTTAATATTTCATGCCCTGGTGACAGTATCTGCTTTAAGCTGCCTTTAATTTTTTTTAATTCACTTCTGATGCTGATTTTATTTGTTGTATAGTTACGTACCAAATCTTCTTCTCCACCTCTTTTTCATTTTTTGTTTTTTTTCCTTCTTCTTCATCTTCTTCTTTTCTTTTCCTCTTCTTATCCTCCTCCTTTTTCTTCTTCTTATTTTTTGCTTCTATTTTCCTTCTCTTGCTCCTCCCCCTTCTTCATCATCATCTCATTCAGCATTCCGAACCCCTGAGGTTCATTGCTGAAGGTATTGCCTATCCTCATTCATCTTTGTGAGTGGCCTTCTCTTTCCAGTTGGTGACTCCAAGTGTCGGTAGATCTGCATGTCTATTCTCTCTTCACCCCGCATACTGTATTAGAATAAAATATGATGACCAGAATTCCTGATTTTGGTTTTTGTTGTACAGGTGTCTGACACTTCAGAACTTTCAGCAACAAGACTGAGATCTGACCTCACTAAATTACAGCAAAGAGTTGAAGATCTTAAATATGAGGTATGTTTAACTTCGGTATCTAACTTACAGCAAGAATTGAAGAACTTACATATGAGATATGGGAATTCCTCATGTGGATTCAAGACAGGAATAGATCCACTGTCTCCCCACCAGACAGTTCATAAGAGTCAACTAACTGGAGGTTTCTTAGAAGTCGGAGTGAATCTGCCTAAGAGGCAAGGAACCAGCAGTCTGCATACAAATAAGACAGATCTGTAAAACAGATGTGCTGGCAACACTCAGGTCCTGGAACAAGACTAAAGTCCAGAGGTAGATAAACAACCAGAATTTTCCACCAGAGCTGTGATTGCTTACAGCCTGTGAATGTGAAAAAGAAGAAGAATATGATATGAGAATGTTTGATTTCAGTAGTAAGGAGAATATTGAGTTAGTGCAATGTGTCTGTATCAGTTAGCTAGTTAGTTGCATTCGCCTTATAGCATATCGCAAACCAACCCCTGCCTTTGTTGAAAGTTTGTAGTTTTACTAGACAGTTTTATGTTAAGTAGTTTGCCGTTGCTTTTGGAACAAGTCAACGTTCATACCATTGTAGAAATCACCTGCAACTGACCTTAAAACCTAGTATGTCAGAACTGTGACGCTGCCTTCACAGCCCCTAAACCACAAATACTGACAGAAAGAATTATGAAATGAAATTTAAAATGTCATCATAATGAAAGACAGCCAAATGAAGAGATTCTAGAACAGTGTGGGGGGTGGGGGGGGGTCAGGCAGTCTTGAAATCATAATTACATTAATTTTTTTCTATAAGTTTAATAAGAAACAAAATGTTAGCAGTCATAGAAACACTTTGATGCGGAGAGAAATCTCTGTTATACCGTGTCCAACATCAGTTAGTGTCAACAATCATTTTATTATGTGGAAACTAAATTACCAGTTGTTGCTGATTGTTTCTTTTCATGTTCTTTGATGCTTTGATTTATGTCAAAGTTTATCTCCAACTTCTTGTTAATAGGGCCTGTGATGTTTGTTTTTTACCATTTGTTTAATCACACTTGGGAGGTGAGGGGGTGTCTTGCCATATATTCAAGATGGCATACCCTGAACAAGTTTTTTAAACCACAGTTCTAGAAAGACTGGATTTAAAAAAAGAGTTGTTAGAAGAAATTTAAAAAGAAAAAAGGTAAGCTAAATATTTCTACAACAATTAAAAAAAAACGTTTTTTTCTTTTTAAACAATAGTTGAGAAAGAGTTGAATGAAGGAGAGCCAGCAGTAAGAACAGTAAAAGAGAAATTAACATTAAATAGATAAACAAACAGCAGCCTGAAAGAATTTGCAATAGGGGGAGAGACAGGCAGACATCACTTAGCTGACATATTTCCAAAAGAAATCACATTGCTGGATAGCTAGTAGAATAATTGACACATATATTGTCACCAATAATGAAACCTAGCATGAGAACAAGGGCTGTAATTTCAAGATATTAGATAAAATTGTTTTGAGTGTCAAGTCCCCTGTGTGAATTGTTCCCAACAGATGGATAAGACAGTTCTCAGCAGACTTATGGACTTTGTCACTGAGTGGCTAGATTTCATTATAGAAATGACACATTGTATTGAATATAGTTTGTTTCATTCCATAGATTTGGTTCCATGTTGCAGATTAATTTTAAGTGAAATGATTTATGGTATTAAATTAATTAATCTGATTTTTTTTTCTCATGATTAATTCTAAACTGATGTCTAGAATTCCCATATGGTTCAAGAGCCTCAATTTGGAGGTAGAAAAAGAATGGACCCTATGTTTGTTATGGATGTTGTATTCCTTACGTCCTTCTTAGGACGTTATTTTTTGTTATTTGAAGCCCCACTCTGGCTATTGCCAGGGGCCGCAATATAGGCAGGTCATCATTATGGCCAAATGTCTGAACGCGGTTTCTGGGACCTCTCCACGGTGATCCTCATCTGCATGGTGGCACTTTGTGTCATTGGGTGTTTATCGCATGTGTGATGTCCTGGTGGGGTAAAAAGCCAATCCAAGCCAATCCAATGGACCCCCTACCTCTTAGCAAGCATGTCATAAAAACCAGCTATTTAATTAACTCTTTCAGTCCAATGAAACACATCATACATTCATAGGTTCCTACCTGGAAACCCAGTGAATACAGAATGCACAGATTTAAGATCTCCCTTTACTACCCATTTTGCCTCTAATGCTAAACCTTCTGGGACTCGAAAAGTTAAGGGTTTTTTTTTTTTTTGGGAAATGGTATATTGGACTGAAAGGCACAGATATAGCCTAGATTAAACCATAACACAACTGGATGACTGCCCGTTTAAGGGCAAGCGTAGAATAAAAAGAAGTGAAGAGGTTATTAGTTCTGTCCCCATGTGGGGCTCAAATTTTCCTTATTTTCAAGCCCCACCTTGGCTGTTGCCTGGGACCCTAATATAACCCCAACCTGTGAGTTGAATGGGTTTTCTGGAACCTTTGACTGGTGATCCTGATTCGAATGGTGGCACTTTTTATCACCAGGTGTTATGGCTTAGTGTGATGTCCTGTTGGGATTAAACGTCAGTCAGTTAAAAAAAAAAGTGATGTGTTGAAACTTATTTTTAATGCTGTTATTGTAAACTTATTTAATTCACCCAATAGATTCAGTCCCGTGATCGAAAGATTTCCAGTTTGACCAGCCATATTAGTGACCTGGAGACAGAACTTGACATCAAGAACTCTGAGATCAACAGCTGTATGCAGACTGTCAAAAAATTGCAGGAAAAGGGAAGACATTCTGTGTTAGAGGTTTGTGATAGTTTGTGCTAGTTTGTGATAGTAGTGGTTTGTCTGTCCGGTGTTTGTCTATGCAAATAAATGTTGGATGTACACCAACATGCAATAGAAGCTTCAATGTGAGATCTTGAATGTTGGATAAACTAACCATCCATTCCTCCATTTCTTCCTTGGTCTTTCTCTCCTCTTCTGTCCAGATACTCCTCTGTACAAGGCAGAGATATAAAACCGAACGAAAAGTCTATTTGCGAGCGTCACACACAATATAACAATCACAAACAAAACATGAACGCTGCGGCTATGGAGCCTTCTTCAGCACATACACAGATTAGACAACACTACACAAACACACAATATCACTTATCTTTGTATCTCGTGGCAGCCAGACCGATGTCAAGTCTGGCGAGGCACGTGGGGTCGGGAAAATAAATATCCGGCGATATGCCAGGGGCCGTCACTCGAGGATAAGACGAAACTGTGTAGGCAGTTCAGCCCCTAGGATTTAGATGAAGCTGTGTTGGCAGTTTAGTCCCCTGGGCGCCAGAGTTCCCAAAGTGTATATAAAGCAATTTTTAAGAGACTTGCGAACTCTGTCACTGGAGTGGCTAGATTTAATTGCTGTCACCTCCATGTCTCTGTATTTTAATGTGATTCAGGCATGCTGTTGTGTCTTCTGTCCAGATATTTTCTCTAGAAAGTCACAAATACAGCTTAGTCTGACTATTCTTACTAGATGGCCATACCACTTCATTCTCTTAATTTTAATGTGATTCAGGCATGTTGTTGTATCTTCTATCCAGATATTTTCTGTAGAAAGTCACATATACAGCTTAGTTTGACTGTATTCTTACTAGATGGCCAAACTACTTCATTCTTTGTCTTGTGATATAATTCAGGCATGCTGTTGTTGCAATCTTCTCTCTATTGTTAGTATTTGTAACCCTGTCTCTTCTTTAGTTGTTGGTCTTGTACAAACTGTATTTCACAGGTGGTTAATTTCCAAAATAGATAATGTGATTGAATGAATGAATGAATCAAGATTTGACATCTCTCCACTTGTGACATCCCCACACATGCTCCATCCCCTTTCTTCAATAGCCAAAGAAGAGTTGGCATGCTAAAAGTACCAGTTTGTAACCTGGTTAAAAAGTACCAGCTGTGTCCTGGTTAAAGGTCTGCCTTTGTTCCTCCTCAGTAAATTTATCGCCAGAGCAACGGAGTGCATGCTTTATACCTTCTTTAATAGCCAGCAAAGATGGAGTATAAAATTGATAATAGCTACATTTTAAAAAAAAATTCACTTAACAAAGTACACTGGGGCAAGAATGAATGAAATAAAACACTCTCCGCATAAAGAATTTAAAAACAGTAGATTGTACAATTTATTGCCTTGCAAATTTCACTGTGATCTCATCAGTGAATACTTATTTTTCTTCTTCTTCAGCATTCCGAGCCCTTGAGGTTCATTGCTGCAGATATCACTGCTTCACTAACAAGCATGTCTTAACCCTTTCGCTGCTATGGACGTCTTTTCCCGTTGCTTTGTTTACCCCGACAGCGTGGTCGGTGATCTGTGTATTTTGTGCCCTGATATATATTTGTGCTTTTGGATTATTCTACACTTAGTACAAAATGGCAAGAAAACTTGTTAAAGTTGATGAAGAATTGATGGAGTTTCTGTCAAGAAGTGATAGAGAAGATGACTTTGAAATGTGTACTTCTGACAGTGAACAAAAAGATTTGACTAGGCCATCAATATTGACGGTTCAAAAAGGCGTGTCCAAGAAAAAGCTGTTTGCCTGTCCGACATCCTCATCGTCGGAATCAGAGAGCAGCGACAATGAAGCGCCATCAAAACGGCAATAAATTGATTAGTTGTCTTGATGAACCAATGATTTGAAACCAGTAGTGCATAATTTTGATGACTCCAGCTCTGGCTTTATTTCAGCAACTGTAAATTCAAACAGTTCATTCACTATAAATTCTCGTCTTTCCCGATGGACAGACACAGATTCGGACGAACTTTTTTTTTTTCTGTCTGTCTGCTAATGCTTAGAACAAAGAAACTCAAAATAGAGTACTTGAGTAAAGACTGTTTGCTAAAAACTCCCATGAAATAATGTCGAGGGACAGATTTTTTACTGTTGTTGAGAATCTCAAACATTTCTCAGACAACAGTGCTCATGCAGGCGGCGATAGACTAAAACTTAGACACATTATTGATAGTCTGCGCACATCATTCATTATTATCATTCACAGGGTGATAGCTCCGTTAGTCAAGTTTGTGGGTCACCATCGTGCCTCTGACTTGTCACCACTCGGACCAACCACACAACTCCCCAGGGTAAAATTTTTTAGGTGTACAAAATATAGCCCTCACCGCCGACGCATCTTTTGTGTTTGGAGGATAGAAAAGTATTGCGCACAGCAGAGACTTTTTTTTTCACATTGCTTAGCACAGTTCAGACAGCTATTTCCGGGAACGTAGCAGCGAAAGGGTTAAAAGGCAACTAATTAGTGATTTTTTTTTTTCGAAGTCGAAGCACATCTGCCTGAGCGGCTAGAATCATACAACTGAGCTAGATTTAGAAAACGGGTTTGCACGCAGAATTCAAGTTATTGGACAATACTGAACTGAAAGAACAACCAGAACTTTCTTCTGGAGCCTACAGCTGGTCAATGCTAAGATGAGGAAGATTAATTTTTGATACATATCCTCTACATCAGTGGTTCCTGTGATACATATCCTCTACATCAGTGGTTCCTGTGATACATATCCTCTACATCAGTGGTTCCTGTGATAGATATCCTCTACATCAGTGGTTCCTGTGATAGATATCCTCTACATCAGTGGTTCCTGTGATAGATATCCTCTACATCAGTGGTTCCCGTGATAGATATCCTCTACATCAGTGGTTCCTGTGATAGATATCCTCTACATCATTGGTTTCTGTGATAGATATCGTCTACATCAGTGGTTCCTGTGATAGATATCCTCTACATCAGTGGTTCCTGTGATACATATCCTCTACATCAGTGGTTCCTGTGGTAGATATCCTCTTCATCAGTGGTTCCTGTGATAGATATCCTCTACATCAGTGGTTCCTGTGATAGATATCCTCTACATCAGTGGTTCTTGTGATACAAATCCTCTACATCAGTGGTTCTTGTGATACAAATCCTCTACATCAGTGGTTCCTGTGATACATATCTTCTACATCAGTGGTTCCTGAGATACATATCCTATACCTCAGTGGTTCCTGTAATACATATCCTCTACATCAGTGGTTCCTATGATACATATCCTCTACATCAGTGGTTCCTGTGATACATATCCTCTACATAAGTGGTTCCTGTAATACATATCCTCTACATCAGTGGTTCCTGTGATACATATCCTCTACAGTGGTTTCTGTGATACATATCCTCTACATCAATGGTTCCTGTAATACATATCCTCTACATCAGTGGTTCCTGTGATAAATATCCTCTACATCAGTGGTTCCTGTGATACATATCCTCTACATCAGTGGTTCCTGTGATAAATATCCTCTACATCAGTGGTTCCTGTGATAAATATCCTCTACATCAGTGGTTCCTGTGATACATATCCTCTACACCGGTGGTTCCTGCCATACATATCATCTACATCAGTGGTTCCTGTACATCAGTGGTTCCTGTAATACATATCCTCTGCATCAGTTGTTTCTGTGATACATATCCTCTATATCTGTGGTTCCTATCAAACATATCCTCTGCATCAGTGGTTCCTGTGGTACATATCCTCTACATCATTGGTTCCTATCATACATATCTTCTACATCAGTGGTTCATGTTATAGATATCCTTTACATCAGTGGTTCTTGTGATACATATCCTCTACATCAGTGGTTCCTGTGATACATATCATCTACATCACTGGTTCCTGCCATACATATCTTCTACATCAGTGGTTCCTGTTAGACATATCCTATACATCAGTGGTTCTTGTGATACATATCCTCTACATCAGTGGTTCCTATGATAGATATCTTCTACATCAGTGGTTCTTGTGATACATATCCTCTACATCAGTGGTTCCTGTGATAGATATCCTCTACATTAGTGGTTCCTGTGATAGATATCCTCTACATCAGTGGTTCCTAAATAGCCAAGACCACAAAAAATTTAAATAAATAAAAATAGTAAATAAAGGAAGAAAGCTACATTGATAGGGTCAAAATGTCCAGGGACTGATGCTGTAGAGAACATATATATCAACTTACGACCTTTTGGTCAGAATGGAACTAAGTCGTCATTTGAGGAGACCTTGTATTAGAATCACAAAGAGGATTAAATTACAAAGTTGAGGGATTGTTTTGCAAATGATATTTTGAACCCCTTAAATTTGTATTGCAGTTCAAGATGTCTGCAGAGCACCAGATTGGAACATCGATTTATGTTACGATTGTTAAATAACTTATTAATTTGTAACACACATCATCTACACCAGAATTGTTAAATAGCTCATTTAAAAAATTTAATTTGAAGACACATAATCTACACACACACACTTGGAGCACAGAGATGAAGCATTATTAAACATTTTTTTAAACAGTCTTATGATGAATCTTTGAACCCATCAGAGCTGCAAACAGTGGGGAATGAAGAGTAAGAATTCATAATCTGTTGAAATTGCCATTGATCAATGGCATCATGCAGGCTAATAGACTGAACTGGCTGGGGTATATTGAAAGGGTGTCCGTTGGAAAAAAAAAGTGTAAAAACTGTGTACACAAGAAAGTTGCATGGTTGTAGACCACGAGGCAGACCAAGAAGATGGTGGAGAGATAATATACAGATAGGCCTGCAAAAACTTGGAGTCACCAACTGGATGGAAAAATATGACTTATCACAAAGATGAATGAAGGCAAGTGATATCTGCAGCAATGAACATCAAGTGCTTTGAATGCTGAAGAAGAAAAAGAATCTACGCAGAAATTCTTAAATAGCTCAGATAACTTTATATTCTGCTGTCAGTAGTAGTAATTTTACCCTAAAAGGATATCACACAGAGCGATAAACACCCGGTAAAACAAAATGTAATAATGCGTATGAGCATCACCTGTGGAGAGGTCCCAGGAACTGCCTTTAACCGTTAGACTATATTACGGCCCCTGACAAAAACTAGGGTGAGGCTTCAAAATAACGAAAAATTGCATCACACATGTTAAAGTTACATTGAGTATTTTCTCATTTCTAGTCATCCAAGTCTGGTGATATGATTCGTCAACTTAAGTCTGATGTGGTCTCATTACGAGAAAACCATTCTGAGCCATCTCAAGATGTAAGTATAGTTTTCTTTAATTCTTTGTGAACGCACTGTAAGTTTACATTTTACCTGTATATTATAGAGCTCACTTTTATGGCAATTTTTTAAATCATAAAATCTGTTTAAATACAACTGTTATTTATATGTTTGCCTCATATTCCACATATAGCGGCTAGACCAGTGTTTCCCAGTATGGGGCAATTTGATTGTTAAAAGGGGGAGGGGGCATTTTGAAAGTGGACTCACCCAGAGTTTAAGTTACATCAGGCGCATATGAATTTTAAAAAGGCTTAGGTGGGGCATAGCACAAAAAGGGTTGGAAAACACTGGGCTAGATGCTCGTCTGCCGATCGGAAGGTCGTGAGTTCAGGTCCTAGCAGTACTGGAGTTTTTCAGCAATGACCTTGGCTCCCAGGTTGATCCAGCCTTGAATAGGTACCAGGTGGAGCCCTGGGAAGTAAAACTGGCCAGTGGGATGCTGACCTCATCGCCCTTTAAGTGTTGATTGGTCTCTAAAATCTAAGTCTAACCTTCTGTGCTTGCAGTCATGAAAAAAAGGTCCTTTACTTTGTCATATACTACTAAATGCAAAAGAAACAAAATTGTTGATAATAATAGTACCACTCTTGTGAGCAGGTGGTTATTTTAAAGCCAATTTGGCATCATAATTTGCTTGTAGCCTAAATTTTAGAATGCCGACAAGGTCAAGGGTCATGATGTAAGTCACACAACATGTATTTTTATTCCCAGGGGAATGAAATCCAGTTAATTCTTCATTCCGTTTGTGTTTATTGATTACTCTCCATCATATTATTTTCTGTGGGGAAATTTAACAGATATTTATAAATATTATAAATGTTTGTTATTTAAATAAATTTAACATAACATAACCTTTTACCTGTTAGGGTTGTAGAGGTGTATTGCTGGAAGCACTAGTACATAAAACTTGCCATCTTTCTCTGTTTTCCGCTTGATGAATAAGTGTATTGTAACTTAGTCCTGTCCGTTTCTTGATGTTGCCCTCCTCTTCTTTGACTACCCGCCAATGTTCCTTGAGGCACAGTCTTTGCAGTCGAATCATATCTAGCTACGTGCCCGAACCAAGCTAGCTTGTGATGTTTCACCACTGCCAAGAGAGGCTCCTGATATCCTGCAAATTTGTATATTTTGTCTCTGACATATTTATTAGTTTTATGTTCTAAATTATTTCTTCTTCTTCTTCGCATTCACCAGCTGTAAACTCTAGTGGAAAGTTTTGGTTGTTTGTCCACTTCTGGACTGCAGTCCTGTTCCAAAACCGGGGTTTTGCGTGTGCATCCGTTTGACAGTTCTGAAACATTTGTGTGCAGACTTGGTTCTTTGCCTCTCAGGCAGATGCACTCCGACTTTGAAGGAAGCTCCCAATTAGTCTACTCTTACGACATGCTTTTGGGTAGGCAGTGGGTCTATTCTTTTTTTAGCCCAATAATAGGGCTCCGAGCCCACACGGGATAAATAACTATTTTGTTTAATGCAACTTTAGCATTTATATTTGAAAGTTTGAATCCTTCTTTCCATTTCAGCAGTGAAAGTCCAACTCTGACATCCGTATACAAAATAACTGTTACTGACCTGTGTAAAATGATTGTTTATTTTAAGATTTTTTTCAGGAATTCCTGGATTTGCAACTTTTTTTTAAAAAAGTGTTTCCAGGACAGGATGGTTGAAGATAATTAGTACGGTTTGTGCTTTGTCTCCAGATTTCACACTTTGAAAGACACATTCGTACTCTGGAAGCTGAACTTGCTGAATCAAAAGAGTATAGAAGGAAAAACCTTGATGAGGTATGCTCAGATAAATCTCACTTCTGACAATTCACTTGGGGGTCTCCATGGTGAAGTGGTCTAGCTGTTTGCTTTGCGCCCTGCACTCTTAAGTTCATGAGTGCAATTTTTAGAGATCCCTGAGGATCGTCAGTGGAGCTACGTAGTTTGTGCTCTGTGCTGTGCTTTTGACAGGCGGCTAGCCAATCTGCAGAGAGAGACTGAGCCATATGGGATAAAACCCGATGCAGTGAAGTAGATCCTCTTGACTTTAATAGCTTTTTAGCTATTTTCCAGATAAAAGCAAATGATTTAGTCAGTTCCTGTCATCACTGAAACCATCACCCTATTAGTTTCTTGAAAGAGAGAATGAGTGACACTATACTTTTTCATTTTCTAGTGCTGGAGTCTTTCATAGTCTGATTGACATGGGAATTCTTTCTTGTCCTGCAGAGCTGACACACTGTTTAGGTACTCGTTGCATAATCTTTATAAGAACTAATAGAAAAAGATGGGGGAACTAATGGAGATATTAAAATATAAATACAAAAGGCAAGAGAAGTTAAGGGGCTGCATGGTCTCAAGGCATGGTATCCGCCTTGAGTGCTAGAGGTTCCGGGTTCAATCCCAGGTGAGGGCTGGGATTTTTTCACGTGGACTTGGACTTCTAGTAATTCTCCCTGGTCTCTGGGTAGTGAGATCAGACACACCCGTGTGCATTGTTGCGCGCGTTAAAATGCCCTTGGCAGTTGAAAATTGAAAAGAGTAATCTAACGGCACTGCTCGGGCAAAAATTGGAGTTAAAAATCTACCCAAAGTGTTTCAGGATCCTCACTAGTGCTACAGAGCCTTCAAAACCTCAAAACCAAAGCACTTGGAAATATGTGGATGTCAAAAGAAATTAATGCTAATACTGAATTAAAATTGTTTAATGCTAATGTCAGATTAGTACTGTTGTATGGAGCGGAAACATGGAGAACAACTAAGGCAAATACTAATAAACTACAAATATTCATTAACTGGTTCCTGCACAGAATAGAGGGAATTAAAGGGTATGATAGAATCACTAATGTAGAGCTTTAGGAGAGAACTAAACTTGTTCCAGTGGACTAAGAGTTGAAGAAAAGATGCTGGCGTTAGATAGGACACACATTGAGAAAACTTGAGAACAATATAACTACAGTGTCTTTGCACTGGAACCCGCAGGGGCATAGGAATAAAGGAAGACCAAAAAACACATGGAGAAGGGAATTAGAGAGAAGTTAAAAACATGGGAAGAGCTGCCTGCTATAGCAGATATGACTGAGCATTGAGAGAACTGTTGTAATGCCTGCTCTTTCCAATACCTCACTGTTTATGATCTTCATCTTGCCACTTAACTCTTTGAGTCCCAAACAGCGCATCATACGTTTCTTTGCCACACTATAAACATGTTACCTGCTTTCTATACCATTCACAAAAAGATGCTAAATTAACCCTTTGTACCTGCATTATTAATTTAACTACTTTTGCCCTATAGATTCTCAGTTCAACTGAGTTATACTAATGTATCTATTGTTTTAAAGCTCACATCTTTACAATAGAATGGGTTAAAGTAACAAGTGTGTGGGACCAAAAGAGTTAATATCAGGTCTTCTTCTTAGGCATCACAGGTGAAAGCTGTTAATCCTTTTCTCTTGTTGCGAATAAGTTGACCAAGTTTCACTTCTGTAAAAAAGAGTACTGAGAACACAAGCCTGGTAGACTGCTTGAGATTGACAGATGATATATTTGTATCATTATTTACTAAATTATTGTATTACATATATCTGTTTTTAAGACGACATGAATTCCTCTATACATGTCTTTATAGATTGGTATCTTACAAGAAAAGCTTCGAGAGGGTCAGTTTTCAATACATGACCACCACGATGTGTTAAAATCGGAGTTAGGCAGACGAGATGACACCATACAGAAGCTCAGAAAAGATGTTTTAAGTTTACAGGAGAAGCGCGATAGTGCCCTGTCTGAGGTAGGAGTTCTACTTTTATTTCAGAAGTTTATATTCTCTTTAGATTTGGGGGGGAGTAATAACTCCTTCATTTTTTTTATTTGGTTACTGTACATAGTTTGATTTATTATAAGCTTTTATTAAGTTTGCTGTGGTATTGATGTTTGTGTGTTTCTCTGGGTGGGAAGTTGCGGTCGATTGTCACACTTAGAGAGAATGCCTTGTAATGCCATACCATACAAGGAATGCACTAAAAGAGATGAAGGTTATAGAGCGTGATGTAGACCTAGAACAAGATGGAAAGATAACATTAGAGAAAGTCTACAGCAGTACAGTGCTAAATGCCAGTCATACTTCACAACCTGTGATATTCTTGACAGATGCAAGAGTGGTACTTCAGGCACTCCAATCTTGAAAAATTACCAGGTATATGGACATTACCCTCAACCTAGGCAGCCGGTGTAAAGTAACTATTCAGTTGATACTAGTGTGAAGCTCCCAAAAATAGGGGAGCTGATAAACTAGCTAAGACAGGTGCAAATGAAGGATAACCTGACGTACCAGTCTCTTTTCAACAGAAAAAAGAGAATATCGAATCATTCAGAAAGCCACTAAAAGTCTACACAAGATGATCACTGTGTTATAGACAGACCAGAACAAATCATTATTCTTTGCCTTAGAACAGGACATGGTTGACTTGGCAGTCATATGTACACAAAATTTATGATTGATGTATTAGTCATGTGCACATGAGGATTGGTGTCTTATATAACAGATCACATCCCCTGAGACTCCAAAATACATTTCAAGGCACAACTGGCCAAAGAAACACCAGTGAAAGCTAAATTTAACAGGTCACTGAGTGAATTAAGACTGTGAAGTTCATACTAGAGAGGGTATTGCAGATATAGGTAATCTTTTTCAAGCTAACAAAAGAAGAAGAAGCAGTTATATACATTAGTTTGATTCCCACATATTTGATCATTTCATATGTGTGTGTTTATTATATGCATAGTAATTAAACTGCATGCAGTCTGAATGTTGCATTTGCTTTCATTAGAGCGATTCAGCTTTTCGTAAGCTGTCTAAAGTGAAAAGTCAGTTGCAAACAGCACAGGAGGAGGTAACTGAACTTTTCTGGCATCGAAGCTCGCACTTTCTTCAACTTTAGTAGCATGCAGTCTTTAACAGTGTTGTTTTTATGGAGGGTCTAAACAGCACGTCTTTAACAATGTTGTGTGTATGCAGAATCCAAACAGTACCTCCTGAATAATGTTGTTTTTAATCAGAATGTTAGCAACACTGCTTTAATAATGTTTGAATGCCAAATCCCTGTAGCATGTCTTTAACCATATCGTATTGTATTAACATCTAAACTGCACATTTGTTGTGAACATTGTTGATTATTTCGCTTTCCTTTTTTTTTTTTTTTTTTTAAACTTTTTCAGTACCAGACTGTTTGTCTGAAATTTTTCATTTCCCAGAATATTTGTGTTAAATTTTCCAGACTCCAGAATACTTGTGTTACATTTTCATATCCCAGAATATTTGTGTTACATTTTCATGTCCCCGATTATTTGTCTTAAAATTTTGTCATATTTTAGACCATTTGTCTTAAATTTTTCATATCCCAGACCATTTGTCTTAAATTTTTCATATCCCAGACCATTTGTCTTAAATTGTTCTTATCCCAGAATACTTGTATTAAATTTTTCATATCTGAGACTAGTTGTCTTAAATTTGTTATATCCAAAAGGAATGCTTTTTTCAGACTAATAACTCCTGTGTCTGAAATTGGTCAGTAATAATCCTGTTGAACAGAAAAAGTAAATGTAATGACTATAAGAGATTAATATAAGTTACAAAAAGCTATTCTGTACTGAAGGAGTTTTAAAACTTGTTTTTTTGTTTTTCTTAAACAAAACAAAACATGTATCAAACAGATGGTGTATGACATATTTAACATTTGGCTTGAGGATAGTAAAGAAATCTGGCTAAACATATGATTAACACACAGAACAGTAAATGTTTTATACAAAGTGTGTAGATGTTGCATCTATGAAAGTAATTAACTGATGTAGTTTTCATTATCATTAAGAGCCCTTGTTAGCTGACGTAATGTAGCAGTTAGACACTCAGCTGCAGCTCTGAAGGTTATGGGCTCAAATACCTTAACAGCTGAATTCGAAAAGAAGATACAAGCATTGGAAATGTGATCTTTCAGAAAAATTATTGACATATCGTAAGCGGCCACATCACAAATGATGATATTCGCCGTATAATTATCCAACACATCGGCAACTACATTTAAAAAACGGCAGTGCAGTTGTATGACATGCAGTAAGGTAAAATGGCCTCTCGGAAACAACACTACAGGATGGAATAGAAGGAAAATGGAGAATAGGCAGACTAAGAACAACCTGGATACCGAATGTGACTGACTTGACAGACCTTGGACCTTTATACAGCCATGAAGTCCATTGCATCTGACCAGCAAAGGTGGAAGGAGCTGATGAGACAATTAAAAGCAGCTGGTGACCCAATGACATGCTGTGTTAAAGGATGTTGCAGATGGGTTCAGATACAAATGAAGCTGACATTTCTTTTTAAATGACTGCAGCTTCCAGGAGAGTCCCCGTGGCGGAGCAGCTAGACGCTCACTGTGGATCGGAAGGTCATGGGTTCGTTCCCTGGAGGAGCCAGACTTTTTTCAAAAATGACCTTGACTCCCAGGTCGACCCAGCCTTGAGTGGGTAGCGGGTGCAGTCCCCTGAAGTAGAGGCGGCCACCGTGATGCTGACCACATCACCCATCTTGTGCCGATTGGTCTATAAAAATATAGGTCTAGCCCTATATGCCCTATACGCCTAGAGGGGTGGAAAAGGGTCCTTTACTTTACTTTACTTACAGCTTCCAGACCGACCCAGCCTTAAATGGATACCAGGTCAAAGTCCTGGGAACTAAAGGCAGCCAACATAAACTTGACCAAATCACCCAAAGTGTTCCGATTGGTCTGTAAAATATAGGTCTAGTCTTATGCCAAATATGCCTGTAGGGAGTGGAAACAGTTTACATTGTGCTTTTTTTTCTTTGTTTCATTTAATTTGAAATGAATAATAGAAACAGTTTAGACATATGGTGAAATATTGTGACAGAGAAGCGGTAGTCATGTGATGAAACATTGTGACAGAGAAGCAGTAGTCATGTGATAAAACATTGTGACAAGGAGGCAGTATTCATAGGATGAAATTTTGTGACAGAAAAGCAGTGGTCATGTTATGAAATATTGTGAAAGAGAAGCAGTAGTCGTGTGATAAAACATTGTGACAGAGAAGTAGTAGTCGTGTGATAAAACATTGTGACAAGGAGGCAGTATTCATATGATGAAATATTGTGACAGAAAAGTAGTAGGCATGCGATGAAATATTGTGAAAGAGAAGCAGTAGTCGTGTAATAAAACATTGTAACAGAGAAGCAGTAGCCATGTGATGAAACATTGTAACAAGGAGGCAGTATTCATGTGATGAAACATTGTGACAGAGAAGCAATAGCCATGTGATGAAACATTGTGACAGAGAAGCAGTAGCCATGTGATGAAACATTGTGACAGAGAAGCAGTAGCCATGTGATGAAACATTGTGACAGAGAAGCAGTAGCCATGTGATGAAACATTGTGACAGAGAAGCAATAGCCATGTGATGAAACATTGTGACAGAGAAGCAGTAGCCATGTGATGAAACATTGTGACAGAGAAGCAATAGCCATGTGATGAAACATTGTGACAGAGAAGCAGTAGCATGTGATGAAACATTGTGACAGAGAAGCAGTAGCCATGTGATGAAACATTGTGACAGAGAAGCAGTAGCCATGTGATGAAACATTGTGACAGAGAAGCAGTAGCCATGTGATGAAACATTGTGACAGAGAAGCAGTAGCCATGTGATGAAACATTGTGACAGAGAAGCAGTAGCCATGTGATGAAACATTGTGACAGAGAAGCAGTAGCCATGTGATGAAACATTGTGACAGAGAAGCAGTAGCCATGTGATGAAACATTGTGACAGAGAAGCAGTAGCCATGTGATGAAACATTGTGACAGAGAAGCAGTAGCCATGTGATGAAACATTGTGACAGAGAAGCAGTAGCCATGTGATGAAACATTGTGACAGAGAAGCAGTAGCCATGTGATGAAACATTGTGACAGAGAAGCAGTAGACATGTGATGAAACATTGTGACAGAGAAGCAGTAGCCATGTCATAAAACATTGTGACAGAGAAGCAGTAGCCATGTAATAAAACATTGTGACATATAACAGATTTTTAAAATTACAAACGCTCTCAATTTTAAAACTGCTTGCCACCCCCACCCCCTGAAACCTCTTCATGCCCCCCCCCCCCCCCAAATGTTGGAGACGGCTGCTCTAATTGTACCAGATGGCACAGGCAAAAGTAATCATCACCAAATAAAGCCACAAATAGGCAACAGAGGCTGTTGTTGATGTGCAACATTCAGTAAAAGAGATGCAACGAATATTAAATGCAGGGCGATGATATTTAATTTGTCTTCTGCTATTATAACATCACTTGCACCTATGTTTGTTGTGCTGCATTAACCTTTGCACTAATTTCTTTAACTTTTTCATTCCTGAGTAATGCATGATGTGGGATTGACTCTTCACCAAAATCTGAACCATTATAAAGGGTTATTCCCACACTTTCTACATTTGACCAGTAAATACTGACAGAATCTAGTTGACAAAATAGCCAATTTAGTTGTAGTTGGTGTTTTTTTTTTTAAGTCTTCTTTGGTAAAACTTTTGGGAACTGAAAAAAGTTGAATATCACTGCTTCTAGTTATTTTTGCATGTGTTTAAAAAAAAAATTAACAGGCTTGTGCATGTTTACTCACAATATATATTCTCTTTTTTACACTTAAAAGTAAAGTAAAGGACCATTTACCATGACCTCGGACATACTGGGCATGTAATTCTAGCTATATTTTATAGACCAATATGCACTCACTGGGTGATGTGTTCACCAGCATACTGGTCAACTTTACTTCCCAGGACTTTACCTGGTACACATGTAAGGCTGGGTCGACCTATAAGCCAAGGTCATTTTTGAAAAGAAATGTCAAGGTTCCATTCAGATTTGAATCCACAACCTTCAGATCAGCGGGCCAGCATCTGGATGATACAAAGCAGCTGCCTTTTACACACACAATGTTTACTTTATTTTAGGAAAACATTAAGTAGCAAGTATGACTGGGGAAGGAAAACATTTAGAAATCGGGTGGGTAATTGTGGCTGGGAGAAGAGGGGGGAGGGGGGATATGAAGTTGCAAGTTGGTTTATTTAGCCGGGGAAGGAAAATATTAAAGGAGCAAGAGGTTCATGGGGCTGAGGAGGAAAAAACTTTACAAAAGCAAGTGGATTAATGTGGCTGGAGAAGGAAAACTTGAAAGTAGCAAGCAAGTGGGTTATTGTGGCTGGGTTAGGGAAAACATTAAAGTAGCTAGTGGGTTAATGTGGTTGGGGAAAGAAAACATTAAAGTAGCATGTGGGTTAATGTGGCTGAAGGCAGGAAAAAAATTAAAGTAGCATGTGGGTTAATTTGGCTGAAGGCAGGAAAACATTGAAGTAGTAAGTGGGTTAACATTTCTATGTAAAAACATTAAAGTAGATGTGTGGCTTATATGACAAGAAGGATGTAATTTAAGTAGCATGTGGGTTAACGTGGCTGGGGAAACAAGATTAAACTATCAAGTATGTTACTGTGGCTGAGGCTTGCAGCATAATATTAACCCTACCAGACCTGAGGCCCTGAACCTAACTGTCCCTATAACCTGAGCTCCTGGGCATTACCGCGAAAAAACCAACATGATTTACAAAAATATTAGTTACATGCAAACGAGTGGCTAGAATATGATGAAACTTGGAGACATTGTAGAAAAAAGGCTTACCTTTTATCTAGCGCCAATATTCCACCTTTGTGTGCTAATTCTCTCATCATGATAAACTTTGTTTCGTATAGTGAACACCAGATGTTGCCGTTTGATGGACACACCCCCTCCTCCTACTATTGATCTATTTCAAGATTGATAATTTTTAAGATTTTCCTCATCATTCACGCTTTCACTGACAGTGTCACTTCAAGAACGTATTCTTTATGAAATTATCACAGATAATGAGTATATATATATCACAGATTGTGAATAAACCAAAGTATCGATCACCTGTTGGACTGTGAAAAGCCTAGAACTTGATTCATCAGCCGCTCGTTTCATTGTGAATTTTCATAATTTTTCCACGTAAAACAACACAAATATAATCCACACATGCGGGATTGATAACGATTGGGTGGTTATTTTTAGTCCGTGACGCATCGTTTTTCCGTACTACGCAAAAAGCCGAAAATTAGTGCCAGCGGTATAGAGACTGTCTAAGAAATCCCCTGTAAACTAGGCCAGCGGTCTGGTAGGGTTAAAATATAGGATCAAGTTGATGAATATTACAACTAACTCTGGCAGAAGGAAGTGATGAACTATTTCAAACTAAGTTGGTTAGTGGTTTCTGAAAGATATAATTAACTTCATTTTTAGCGATTTCCTTGCATTGACAGTATATTGTTAATTGTTTAGTTACATCGTATGGAGAAAAGAAACAAGGCACTGGAGGATGAAACAGCCCATTTTAGAGCACAGATCAGTGAGGCAGATGATGAGGTATGTTTACCTTTATCCAACTTTTTCTTCTCCTCCTCCTCCTTTTTTTTTCTGTGCATTCACCGGCTGTAACGGAAAATCTTATATAATGTGCTTTTTTAGTTCTGTATTGTTGTTTGTGCAACGAAAGTGATGGTGAACATGCATCATCCAGTAAAATTCAGTTGTTGAAAGTAGGAAATTTTTTTTTTTTTTAACTTGCAGAACATTTTAGAAATTGCTTGATATTCTTTGGAAGATGTTGCAAACAAGCAACATCATTTGTTGAGTATTTGTACTTTACTAGCCAGAGAGTGGAGACAAAAATATATCACGTGGTCTGAAAAGAATGGTGTAGCGAGAAGTGACCAGAGGACCTGGCTGATGCTCAGTGCTCAGGAAAGGAAAAGAGATGGACATACAGTCAAACTGCTACTAGTACTGTCAGAATGGCATCTCTGTGCTTGCTGCTAAGATAGGGACAGAGTGCTGATCGGATTAATCTGAGTACTGTGATGTCAGTTCTTAGCTCACAACTAAGCCTGGCTTATATGATATCACAATGTCTAGTTTGAGAATGGAGGTGGAGGCAGTCACTGCTACCTTCCACTGACTTGAAAATCAGCTGTACACACATATCGTAATTATAACTGACTCACAGAGTATGTTGAGAAAGGTGAAGACAGGCATGCTAGATGCTAAGGGGCAAGCATCGCTCCAGAGGTCCCAGATAGTTAGGATCCTTTGGATATTGTCTCCAGGTCATGCTGGTCTGTTGGGACCAACAAGGCAAAAGACTGGCCGGTTCTGCAACACTTGGTGGTGAATTGATATACGACAAGCTAGTTTTTGTGAGGGCCCTTTGGAATTTAGTGAACAGTGCAGAGGCACAAATAGATCATTATGGTCTGAGGAGAATGGCGCTGCAGGGAGTTACCAAGGGATCTGGCCAGTGCTCAACACTCTCAAAAAAGGCGAGACAGATGTACAGTCAGACAGTTACTGGTACCATCAGAATTAGAACTGTTGTGACAGAGCATTTATGGGAGTGTCCCGAATGCTATGATTTCAAATCTTAATTCAACATTCAGCTACAACTAGGCAATTTTGTGTTCAGTAGTTTGTCATTGCCTCTGAGCCGTGGATGCTCCATGTTATTGTCAAAAAGATCAGAAATATGCTGCTGCCAGATTGCTTGCATGTATTTTGGAAAATCAAACCGTGTTTGTGACCCCTAAGCCACAGATGCCGGCTGTCGGCTTTAGAGATCACAATAGAGTAAACAAAGGATGTTGCAGCAACAACGAGCCTTCATCGTCAACAAGTCGTAGCATTACTGCATTCAGTTAATTTTGACACATGAGTTTTTTTTTAAACAAAATATATGTTATTCAGTCACTAGAGCAGGATTCACTATCATGTCTGTTGCTACTGAGTAAATAACAGATCACAGGTTTGTATTTCTTTGTTGCCACTAGTTAGAAATGTGGAACAGTTTCTGCCCTTTATTTTTTAGTGTTGGTGTAATGTTGATTCCATTGTTGGTTTAATTTCTTCCTTGTATTGATATAATGCTGTTTTTTGGTGTGGCTGTAAAGTTACCTCTGGTGTTGGTGTAATGTGGACTAGTGTTGGTATAATGTTGTCTCTGGTGTTGATGTAATTTTGGCCAGCGTTGGTGTAGTATTGACTCTTGGAAAACGTTGGCTTGTGTTAGGGTAATGTTGACTCTGGTATTGGTGTGTTGTCAGATATGGCCTTGGTATAGTGTTGACTCTGGTGTATTGCTGTCTCTGGTGTAATGTTGACTGGTATTATTGAAACTTTAAATCTGATGTTGGTCTAATGTTGATTATGGTTTTGTTGTAATGTCAGTTGTAGTGTTGACTCTGGTGTAATGTTGACTGGTATTATTGTAACTTTAAATCTGATGTTGGTCTAATGTTGATTATGGTTTTGTTGTAATGTCAGTTGTAGTGTCATTGTAGTGTTGACTCTTGTGTAATGTTGACTGGTATTATTGTAACTGTAAATCTGATGTTGGTCTACTGTTGATTATGGTTTTGTTGTAATGTCAGTTGTAGTGTTGACTCTGGTGTAATGTTGACTGGTATTATTGTAACTTTAAATCTGATGTTGGTCTAATGTTGATTATGGTTTTGTTGTAATGTCAGTTGTAGTGTCATTGTAGTGTTGACTCTTGTGTAATGTTGACTGGTATTATTGTAACTGTAAATCTGATGTTAGTCTACTGTTGATTATGGTGGTGTTGTAATGTCAGTTGTAGTGTCATTGTAATGTTGACTCTGGTGATGTAAAGCATTTTTGGCCACGTTTGACTATGACACCAAACTGTAGGCTTATGTCATTATTTCCTGTACTAGGTTGCGAATGCAAACAAGAAGGTGACGAACTTGGAAGGAGAGCTGCAGTTTCTCCGGAGCCAGAACGATGAATGTCAAGGACAGGTAATATATTATTTACCACCAGCCTGGTGTTTTTTTGAAATTTGTTTTTGTAGAGTTTAGATGTTTTGTCTAGCAAGTAGTTAGTATACAAATAGTGTAAATAATAATTGCACCATTTAAGTTCACATGAATAGTTCTGTTTTACATTGGTTTGCTTTGTGCACCACACATTCTGTTCCATATGCATGTGACTTACATAGAATTAGTTATTGTTGGTTGCTTTAGAGTTCTTCTAGCTGTAGTTTTGGATCTGTTAGAATAATGCATAAAGAACAAGATGGTTAATATCTTGAGATTATTAACAAGTTAAGATCTAATGATGTATGAAGAAGCAGCTGGTAAAGATAACTGCCTGGAGAAATCCATGGCTGAGATGTTAAGATAAAATGACGCATGGATTAATTTGTGGTGAAGCAGATCATTGTGTGGTTGAAATAGAAGGATGCATGAGGAAGCAAATGGTTGAGATGATGAGATAGAATGATGTATGGATGAAGCAGATGTCTGAAATGTTGATTTAGAATGATGTTTGGAGAAACAGATGTCTGAGATGTTGAGTTAGAATGATGCTTGTTAAAGCAGATGTCTGAGATGTTGAGAAAGAATGATGCTTGGAGGAGCAGATGTCTGAGATGTACAGATAGACTGATGCTTGGAGAAGCAGATGTCTGAGATGTTGAGATAGAATGATACGTGGAGAAACAGATGTCTGAGATGTTGAGATAGAATGATGCTTGGAGAAGCAGATGTCTGAGATGTTGAGATAGAATGATACGTGGAGAAACAGATGTCTGAGATGTTGAGAAAGAATGATGCTTGGAGAAGCAGATGTCTGAGATGTTGAGATAGAATGATGCTTGGAGAAACAGATGTCTGAGATGTTGAGAAAGAATGATGCTTGGAGAAGCAGATGTCTGAGATGTTGAGATAGAATGATACATGGAGAAACAGATGTCTGAGATGTTGAGATAGAATGATGCTTGAAGAAGCAGATGTCTGAGATGTACAGATAGACTGATGCTTGGAGAAGCAGATGTCTGAGATGTTGAGATAGAATGATACACAGAGAAACAGATGTCTGAGATGTTGAGATAGAATGATGCTTGGAGAAACAAATGTTGAGATAGAATGATGCTTGGAGAAACAGATGTCTGAGATGTCTAGATAGAATGATGCTTGGAGAAGCAGATGTCTGAGATGGTGAGATAGAATGATGCTTGGAGAAGCAGATGTCTGAGATGTTGAGATAGAATGATGCTTGGAAAAGCAGATGTAAGAGATGGTGAGATAGAATGATGCTTGAAGAAGCAGATGTCTGCTTATGTTAGAATTACAAGTTGTACAGGAATTCTTGTACAGATGTAGAGGAATTTAAAAGTTTTCATTGTGCCTTTGTTCTTTCTTTAAACTATTTTTTAATACAGTGGTACCTCAGGTCAGAACACCTCTAGTCATAAACAAATCGACCCACAAGCATAATTTGTTTTAACAAATTTTGGCTTGACCTGTGAACAGTGCCTTGGCGCACGAATACACAAACATGGCTCTGGTGCCATTTTTTCTGCTCATGAACATCTTTGGCCAAAGTGAAAATTTTTTGTCATTGCATTGTTTTTGATACAATTGTAAAAAATATATTTTTGAGTTAACTCTAAATGTTGCTTCTAAGAAAGTTTAAAATGTTATTGACAGTGATGCAAAGAAACTTAAGCAAAATAACTAGAAATAAAGAAGAAAATAATAATTAAACAGGAGAGGGGTGTTCATGTTTCTGATCCCACTAAGCAGTACTACATGGCTAAATCTGCCATCGGTACTATCTTAGTAAGCAAAGATATGCTGAAGACGTCTGATGTGGCTAAAGGAGTGGCTGTGTTAATGAAGCAAAGATATGCTGAAGATATCTGATGTGGCTAAAGATGTGACTATGTTAATAAAGCAAAGATATGCTAAAGACGTTTGATGCGGCTAAAGGAGTGACTATGTTAATAAAGCAAAGATATGCTAAAGACGTCTGATGTGGCTAAAGGAGTGATTATGTTAATGAACCAAAGATCTCAAGTGTTAGAAGAAGAAGAAAAATTATTTTTAGTTTTGATTAATGGAAAGCAGCTTGCTGGAGAAAGTGTTAACAGGACCTTGATATGCGAGAAAGCTTGACATTTGCATGTTGATTTCTTTCTCTGCCTCCTCTACCATTTTCCTGTGCCAGGAATTATCAACCACAAAGGTAAAGTTATATTTTATATTTTTAACAACACATAAATTCATTAAAACGATCAACAAACAATATGTTTCTGGGGGTGGGTGAACGGACTAATTGAATTTATATTAACTTCAATGGGAATAAATTGTTTCAGTTTATGAACAACGGAGTCAAAGAACAAATTAAGTTTGTGACCTGAGTTATCACTGTGCATTCTTTGCTTCCTTTTGGTTGCATGTTTATCTGTTGTAACAGTTGCAGTTGTCACACTAACACACAAGCTTGCTAATACAACCCCTGAAGTACTTTTTGTTGTTGTACAGTTTCCCCTTCCAGATTTTCAGTCTGTAGGATTAGGATCTCTAGAATGAGATTCAAACAGGTACCAATCTGGGAAACGCTGTTCAGCCATATCTTCTTCTTCTTTAGCATTCTGAGCCCTTGATGTTCACTGCTGCAGATGTCACCCACCTCCATTCATCTCTCTGTTGGCCTTCTCTTTCCAGTTGGTGACACTGAGTGTTTGCAGATCTGTCTGGACATTATCTCTCCATCATCTTCTTGGTCTTCCTTGTGGTCTACAACCATTTAGCTCTCTTGTGTATACCTTAAGTATTTACCTTTCTGTCATCTGAGATACTTTCAGTATGCCTCAGTCATTTCAGTCTATTAGCTCTCTTGAGTTCAGCCATATAGCAAAATTATATTGGGGCACCACAAAATGGTTACAAAGTAACCTGTAGTCCATTGTGGGGCGGGTGTGATGTGTATTGTAGTCTTCTAAAATCCACTGGCATGCATTAGTTTCTCAGATTTATGGGGACAGTAGAACTGTATAGCTGTCAAAAGGAATCTTCTATATGTAGTTTTTGCAGTCACTTCATTCTTGAGGTTGTGTGAGATCTCATTACCTATAAGGATTAATGTACTGATACAATATATTTCTTCATTGTCTTGAATCTTCATCGTAAATTGCAATGTTTAACACATGATTATGTCTTGTCTGTATATTGAGGCATACTTTATTAACTCTTTCAGTCTCTAGGAATGTAGCATACATTCCTCAATTCATATTTAGTTTCTTGTCCGTATATTTAGGCATACGTTCTTAACTCTTTCAGTCTCTAGGAATGTAGCATACGTTCGTAAGATCCTACCTATAAGCTCAGTGAACGCAAGATGTGCCGATTCTATTTCTCTTATTTACCACCACTTGGGCCTCTGATTCTAAACACCCTGGAACTAAAATAATGTTTAAAATATGTTTTCTTTGAGATTGGCTTTGATTTTTTTTCACATCCTTCTCTGTTTGGGTCCTGGGGCCTCATTTTGGTGGAAAGATTCGACCCGCTGCCTCCCTAACTAGGATGTCATAAATGGTGGCTTATTAGGGGTTTGTTGAGATTAGATTTTTTGTTCCAAAAGATATCACAGCCTAGTTGTAAACCACAACACAATGTCCTTTTTAAGTACAAACACTCTGTTGTTCTAAAGTAAGAGTAATTTGGTGTTGAGAATGCTGAAGTAGCTGCTTTAAACTGAAAGCGTTCATATTTTTTAATTAGACTAAAAGGCTATGGATTTGTTCATTGCAACTTCTGCATGATTAACATTATATTAACTTGTAGATGAATCCTTGTTAACTGCATGAGTACCTTTGACTTGCTAGACTAGGGCTGTTTCCTCTGACAGGTTAACAAACTTACTAACAGTTTACAGAGGCTGCGGTGTTCTTCCAAGGATATCCGAGGTGCTCTGTCAGCAGAGGTAAGAGGGGACTGTTGTCAGAGATAAGATGCTACATTTATTCTTCTGATTGTCGGTGCCATACTTCTGATTGTCGGTCCCATACTTCTGATTGTCGGTGCCATACTTCTGATTGTCGGTGCCAGATGCTGGTATTAAAAAAGCCTGTCCATAGCCTTATGCCTTATGTTATGTCAATCATTTCTGATACATTTGTTCCTCCATACCATTTGCTTAGTACAGTAAGTAAAGGACTATTTCCACGCCTTTAGGAGTATTGGACATATAGGGCTAGACCTGCATTTTAGAGACCAGTTGGCACTCAGTGGGTGATGTGATACATGCCAGCCACCTGCCAGGACCTTACAGGGTACCCATTTAAGGCTGGGTCAGCCTGGAAGCCAAGGTCATTTTAGAAGAGAAAAAAGTCAGGCTCCATCAGGACCTGAAGCCATGATCTTTGGATCTGCAGGCGATCATCTAGTGGCTATACCACAGCACTCCTTTGCCATCAGCCCAACTGTCCAGATCTCTTGTGGTCTCTCTTTGCCACTCTTCCTCTCCAGCTTCATTGTTATCAGGATATAGGCCATACTTATCTTTTTCTTCTGCTTCTTCTTCTTTAGTGGTGAACCCTTGAGGTTCATTGCTGCAGATATCGCCTGCCTGTGCTCAACTCTGTGATTGGCATTCTCTTTCCAGTTGATGACTCCACGTGTTTGCAGGTCTGCCTGTGTATTACCTCTACATCGTCTTCTTGGGCTGACTCTATATTTAGGAGTCTATCATTGGCTTATGTCCCTGGCTAAGGCGTTAACAAACATGCTTCCGTTGTGCTGCATTGAATCACAGCTGTGGGCGATTAGGCAGCAGACTGCTCTACATTCATTTCAGCAGTGGTGTCAAGAGCTCAACATTTGGGAAGCAATAGCAAACTACTGAACATATAATTGCCTTTTTAAATCCCAAACAGTCCAAAATACTGGGGTTGGTTTTACAATGTCCTGTGAAGGATACACAACTAACTATTGGCTAATGCAGAATCTGGATTTGTCATACTTCAGAAGACCTATTGTATTCCCTTTTGATTACTAAGTCCAAAGCATTGTTGTTCAGGGTTTATGAGCTCTGAAAATGACTTTTATTGAAATAAGGTTGGTATAGAGACTGCTTTTGCCAAAATGGTACAGACTATTCCATGGAGATTGTGTTGACGGAGTCTTCTTACCATTTCCACTCCCAGAAACCAGCCGAATGGGCTAGACTGGTACCACAACTTCACATCTGCAGAGAGGCATAGTAAGATATGAACCCTATGTTCATTCTGGGGCCCCATTTTGGAGTGGAAAAAATTAGACCAACTGCCCCAAAACAAGTATGTCATAAAAGGCAACCTGAGGAGACGAAAGGTGCAGGTATCCAAACCTAGCTGCAAGGCTGAACACAGAAGAAGAAGATGCGGCAAGGTTATGATTATGTATCACTGACTGATTAGGGTCTGGATTGTAATTTCTTTTTAATGGACATTATGCATTTCATTGCCACTAGATTTCAACTTAGGTATGTCATTGCCATCAGACTTCAGTTTAGGTATTTCATTGCCACCAGACTTCAGCTTAGGTATGTCATTGCCATCAGACTTCAGCTTAGATATTTCATTGCCACCAGACTTCAGCTTAGGTGTTTCATTGTCACCAGACTTCAGCTTAGATATTTGATTGCCACCAGACTTCATCTTAGATATTTCATTGTCACCAGACTTCAGCTTAGATATTTGATTGTCACCAGACTTCAGCTTAGGTATTTCATTGTCACCAGACTTCATCTTAGGTATTTCATTGCCAGCAGACTTCATCTTAGGCATTTCATAGCCGTCAACCTTCAGCTTAGATATTTCATTGCCGTCAACCTTCAGCTTAGATATTTCATTGCCGTCAGCCTTCAGCTTAGATATTTCATTGCCACGGGACGTCAGTTCATTGCCGTCAGACTTCATCTTAGATATTTCATTGCCGTCAACCTTCAGTTAGGATATTTCTTTGCCACCAGACTTCATCTTAGGCATTTCATTTCCACTAGACTTCCTTAGGTATTTCATTGCCACCAGACTTCATCGTAAGTATTTCATTGTCACCAGACTTCATCTTAAGCATTTCATTGCCACCAGACTTCATCTTAGATATTTCATTGCCACCAGACTTTATCTTAGGCATTTCAGTGCCACCAGACTTCCTTAGGTATTTCATTGCCACCAGACTTCAGCTTAGGTATTTCATTGCCACCAGACTTCATCTTAGGTATTTCAATGCCACCAGACTTCATCTTAGATTTTTCATTGCCACCAGACTTTATCTTAGGCATTTCAATGCCACCAGACTTCCTTAGGTATTTCATTGCCACCAGACTTCAGCTTAGGTATTTCATTGCCACCAGACTTCAGCTTAGGTATTTCATTGCCACCAGACTTCAGCTTAGATATTTCATTGCCACCAGACTTCAGCTTAGGCATTTCATTGCCACCAGACTTCAGCTTAGGCATTTCATTGCCACCAGACTTCAGCTTAGATATTTCATTGCCACCAGACTTCAGCTTAGATATTTCATAGCCACCAGACTTCAGCTTAGATATTTCATTGCCACCAGACTTCAGCTTAGATATTTCATTGCCACCAGACTTCAGCTTAGGCATTTCATTGCCACCAGACTTCAGCTTAGGTTTTTCATTGCCACCAGACTTCAGCTTAGATATTTCATTGCCACCAGACTTCAGCTTAGGCATTTCATTGCCACCAGACTTCAGCTTAGATATTTCATTGCCACCAGACTTCAGCTTAGATATTTCATTGCCACCAGACTTCAGCTTAGGCATTTCATAGCCACCAGACTTCAGCTTAGGCATTTCATTGCCGCAGCCTTCAGCTTAGATATTTCATTGCCACCAGACTTCAGCTTAGATATTTCATTGCCACCAGACTTCAGCTTAGGCATTTCATAGCCACCAGACTTCAGCTTAGGCATTTCATTGCCGCAGCCTTCAGCTTAGATATTTCATTGCCACCAGACTTCAGCTTAGATATTTCATTGCCACCAGACTTCAGCTTAGATATTTCATTGCCACCAGACTTCAGCTTTTATATTTCATTGCCACCAGACTTCAGCTTAGGTATTTCGGCTCTCCTAGCAGATTTGGCCGGCAAGCTAGACGGCGTCGGCCGGCTTAGTGGGAGTTATGGGAGTTATGTACCTTCACCAAACTCAAAACAAGTCGCGGAAAAAGTCACGAATCAAATGACATACTTACCTACCATCATCCGGGTGCGTTTAGGGTTGCGTACGGTTGCGTCTAGGGTTACCTATCATCCTACGGTTGCGCGTAGGGCTGCGTAGGGTGTCTATCATCATCATACGGTTGCGGGTAGGGCTGCGTAGGGTTCTATCATCGTCCTACGGTTGCGTGTAGGGTTGCTTAGAGTTTGGCTTAGCGGTAGGGTTAGGGGTTTGGGTTAGGGTTAGGGCTAGGGTTAGGGGTAGGGTTAGGGGTAGGGTTAGGGTTAGATGTGAAAATTTTCACGTAAGAGGTCGAAATACTGGCCGACAATCTGATGTTTGTGGGAGTGGCGCCACTGGACGTGTGGCAAATATGACGGCAATAGCGCGCGGCTGGTGCCCAATCGGTGGCGAATTGTCCGTGTCAGTAGCATCCACCGTCCGTCGACTGTTTGCGCGTGCATGCGACTGTGCGCGATTATAGGGAACTACGGCGTCACAATTGTCACATCTAACGCTACACCTAACCCCTAACCCTAACCCCTAACCCTAACCCTAACTCTATCTCTAACCCTAACCGTAACCCTAACGCTACCCCTAATCCTAACTGTAACCCTAACGCTACCCCTAATCCTAACCCTAACCCTACCCCTAACCCAAACCCTAATCCTACTGCTAACCCTAACCCAACCCCTAACCACGCAAATTTATCGGTCATTAAAGCTTACAGATCGGCAAAACACCCACAGACAGACACACAGAAAAAAAACCCAGATTTTCCCGCAGCGTCCAAAGAAAAACCCAGATCTGGGGGACACAACCAAGCATTGGCAGCCCTGATGTCGACCTCACTGTCGTGTCTGAGTCGTGACTTTTTCCGCTCGTTGTTGTGAGTGCGGCCAAGGAAAAGAACTCCCACTACGCCGACCGAAGCCGACCTACTTGGCGACCAAATCTGCTAGGAGAGCCGATATTTCATTGCCACCAGACTTCATCTTAGGTATTTCATTGCCGTCAGACTTCAGCTTTTATATTTCATTGCCACAAGACCAGCTTAGGTATGTATAGAGCAATGTCGTTGTAGCTACAGAGTTACGTGCTTATCAGCTGTCTGTACTGATGGCAGAACACTTATGGTTTATAACCGTGTGCAATGACGCTGGTTCACATCTCATGACTTTAGCTTTTTTTTTAAAACTTTTTGGTAATAAATTATAGGTTTACATTTAATACTTACCTTTGAGTTGGTATTTACTTGTAGCTTCACATTTGATACTTACCTCTTATTTGTAATTTAATTATAGCTTTACATTTGATACTTACATATGAGCTGGTTTTATTAGATTTAGATTTACATTTGATACTGATTTCTAGGTTTGTATTTAGTTATAGATTTACACTTGATTCTTATATCAGTTTGTATTTACTTATCATCATCATCATCAGGTGCCTTGCCGACTGGCGTGGGCGATCATGCCTCTCCATAATCCGCGATCTCCTGCAGCATGTATCAGTTCGTGTGCCGACACACCTCCATGCCATGCAACAAGACTGTCAAGCATCTTCTCTCGTTGTCTTTCTCTATCCCTCCTTCCACAGATCTTTCCAGTGGTCACAACATGTTCTATTTTCCCTCTTCTCATAACATGGCCGAAAAATGATGACTGTCTCCTTCTGATGTCAGTGACAAGTTGTCTTCGGTCTCCCGCCTCTTTTAAAACCTCTTGGTTGCTCTTTTTGGCTGTCCACGGTATTCTAAGCATTCTTCTGTAAAACCACATCTCTGAGGCCTCCAAAAATTGTTTGGCCTGCCTACCGATTGTCCAGGATTCACATCCATATGTTAAAACTGGATGTATGTAGCAAGCAAGAATTCTTTTTCTAACTCTCAATGACAAGGATATATTGCACAAGATGTTTTTCATTTTATAAAATGCAGTTTTTGCCTGTCCAATTCTGTTTCTTATTTCAGTTATGCATCTTCCATCTGATGTTATCCATGTGCCCAGATACTTAAATTTCTGTACTTGTCTTAAAATAACACCATTGACTTTTATTACACATTTAGGAATAATTTGTTTCTTTGATACCACCATTACTTCTGTCTTCCCATTATTCAAACTGAGGCGTATTTACTTATACATATAAAAAAATAGAAAGTGACATTATGAAATAGATTGCTTTGTGGTTGCCAAGTGTGTATGCTTTGAATTGTTAGCAGTGTGAGCAATTTGTCCAGTGTTATTTCTCAACAGATCTGTGAGCAGAAGGAGATGATTACTCAACTTAGGAATGAGAACAGGGATATTGAGGACAAGCTGCAGGAGGCTTTGAGCACAGCCCACCAAAGAAATGAAGTTATAAAACAGATGAAGGAAGAATTGAAGCTAGATAGTTCAAAGGTGAGGACAGTTTAGTTTGGGTAAAAGTGTGAAGAAAAAAAGAAAAATATCTACATGCTTTATGATAACTGTTGGGGGTTAAATACTTACACCACATCACTCATATAGATGATCCATCCCCATCTTCAGCAGCCAGGTCAAAGTTCCAATACTAATAATGTCAGTAGTAATTAGATTACATGTTTGTCTTGGACAGAAGAAAATCTTGTGGAATTGGTTTTTATGTGTGGAATTTAGTCAAGCATGTCTTTTTATCAGCACACATTGTAAAGTTTCTCTTGGATATTATCTCTTCCTTAGTCTGTTTGTTTCCAATTTCACTTCCTCTATTTGTTTCCCATTTCAGTGCCTTTGTTTGTTTCCCATTTCAGTGCCTCTGTTTGTTTCCTATTTCAGTGTCTCTGTTTGTTTCCCATTTCAGTGCCTCTGTTTGTTTCCCATTTCACTTCCTCTGTTTGTTTTCCATTTCAGTGCCTCTGTTTGTTTCCCATTTCACTTCCTCTGTTTTTTTCCCATTTGAGTGCCTGTTTGTTTCCCATTTCAGTGCCTTTATTGGCCAAATATCATAAATGATATTGAAATGTTAATGCAGTCAACTTCTGCTGCTTCTTCCCCTTCCATGTCATATGGTGTGAAGAACAAGTAGCCACACACATGTTGATCAAATCAGACCCCATGAACATCACAACAGGCAGGCTTTGCTCTGACTGGGTAGATAGCATTTGGAAGTGATATTTAAACTCTCTTACCTAGA